GAAAATCGAGAGCAGGGTGTAGTTTGATCGCGACGTTTGAACATAACTCCAGTATATGCTCGGCAATCGATTATCTACCTTGTTCTTAAAGTTGTACGGTATTCTTTGACCTGTTTTAAGATTGTATGTAGAGTTTTTGTTGAATGTATAAGCAAGCACTCCACCTTATACTTTCCTGGCGTGTTAAGGGGGGATAATTTTTTCCGTTTTCGTACTCGACGATAGTCTTCTGTGTAAAAACTTCATTTACACCTATCAATTATTATAGATAGTCACTTGTGTACTTTGGCGATGCCAGGATAGTTTCGGTTACAACAGGGGGGTCCTTTTGCAATACCGTGTGTGAATGAGTACTCACTACAAAAACGGGCCTATTAGAAACCGCATATCATCTGCAGTGATAAGCGACTCTAAACTTGTGACTAAAATTCAAAACGGCGGATGTGTAGCTCCATATTTAAGTATACTTAGAATTCAAATGCAGTTTGGTTTTTGTTTTATTAAACAATTCTGGTTTAATGTGTTTTTTTCTCGAAACGTGTGTATACGAGTATACATGCATTCTCAAAGGACTAATCTCAGGATTAATCTTTCTTTCACATTTTATACTCACCATGAGTCATGTTGCTTCGCCTTGTTACGGATTTGTAGAGATTACTTGAAGTCAGCATGTGTTGGTATTGTGTGCTGTTGAATAATAAAAGATTTGATATCATTTGAAGTCATATTTTGATACTAAATCCCTTATAATACAAGCAACTCAGCTAATTAAATAAAACGAAAAGTATTACGAAGAAACAGGAATGGATCGCAAACGAATCTTGAAATACTATTAAACTCAAAGGAAATTATGTGGATGAAATATACAAATAAACGCATAGCAAGCACTGAAGATAACGTGTATATTCTGAACAGTTGATCGTGATATATCTCGACTGGAACTTATTAACGAGCCTTAAAGTAAGTACAATTTAGTATTTAATTATATTGAAAGTATGAAAAAGATATATTATTATAGTGCACAAGGTATTGAATAGGTACTACAAACTAGAGTTTGAGTTTGAGTTTAGAGCATAAAATATTTTATAGAGTTTCGGAGCAGAGTTCGGTGCGTTAAGACGAGATAAGTCAAAATCGGATATAAATAATATGTTATAGTCTAGATCTGGGATTCCCAAAATATTTTGGGCAGGAGAACCTTTTTCTACAATAAACTGATACATCAGACCCCCCTCCCCCCCAGCCAAATTGATGCACACTTATCGACTTGTTGAGGTTTGAAAAAGTACAAGAATTTTACTTCCTTCTAAAATATTAGTCATTAACACAACTGATACAGTACTATCTTGAAAGTTTGAAATAAGGACTTGTGTTAATTGATAGGATTCAAATAAGAATTTGTGTTAATTAATAGGGGCCGATTTTTAGATCTCGTCGACCCCCAAAATCAGTTTTCATTTATCTTTATCGACCTCTTGGAATCCGAGTTCAACTGCTTTGGGAATCCAGTCGATAATAAAGTGCTGTTAAATTATATATTTAGTAGCTTACTGGCTTTTGCCCGCGGCTCCGCCCGCGTGTATGTTGGTTATCGTGGTAAAAACTAGCCTATGCTACTTGCTGGTAATGTAGCAAAAGAAATTTAGTGGTTTAGGCGTGAAAGCATTACAAACAAACAAACTTACTTTTAAATTTATAATATAAGTATGGATTTTCGCTGGCATTGACATTATAACACATAATGTTATGTAGAATTACGAATATCGCTATTAGAAAGGTCAAGGTCAGAATCATTGAAGATATAAAGTTTCTTTTAATTTTAAATTTGAAGTGTACTTTTTTTGAGGAAAGTCTTTGAACTGTTCATTTGAAGCCCAACGTAGGCAAAATTTATTGTGAACAAATCACAAAAAAGTCACACTGATCATTAAAAAAAAGTTAAACACCTATTTATATAAATAGTGGTTTGCTATACTGAGGGAGATCGTTGCTAAGTCATAACTGACTAGGTTAGCGCATCACAAAGTTATGCAATCTTAGTAAAGAATGGGTCACATTTAGGGCCCTCTATGCCCCGGAGAGCCGTCGGTCCCGGTTGCCATATGAACCTCTGTGGCAATCGTTACTGGTGGTTGGAACTCTAAAAAGTCCAACAACAGTCTATCTACAGAACTTCGATATCGCCTAGTGCTATGATTGTGGAGGTAGGCTGGCTGTCACTCCACTTAAAATATCGTTCAGCCGTGATCTAGTAGATTAGAAGCCGACCGCAACGTAGTTTGGAAAAAAGGCTAGGAATGAGTCAAAACTCAATGTCATACTCCGCACAGTCTACAAGGTCTATGTACCCACAGTTTTAATATTTTTCCCAGTTTTACACGCTTTATATTAGCTTCACTTGTATGTTTGTATGTTTGTTTGTAACCGACTCCTTTGGGCGTGATTTTGACTGATTTTAAACGGTCAGAATTCGTTCAAACTTTGTAAATATATCGAGGACCGATGACAATACACTAATTTAAAAAAAAAATTCAAATTTATTAAAATTTATTTTCTAATTTTTAGTTTGGTTTTCTATAAAAAGCGTGTTTTTTAGTTTTTTAAACTATTTATTTTTTAATTTCCTTTTTTTTGTTAATTTACTCAAGTAGAACTTGTAATATTGTATTTCTACTGGAATTAATGCAATCGCGCTGTGTGAGGGTTATTAATTATGTATTATAACGTTCCAGTCTGTTCAGTTAAAGATAAAAGTATCGACTTCACAGAAGTATTTTAATAATGATAAATCCATACACGGCAATCTGGTCCTAAACTAGGCAGAACCTGTACTATGGTACCCAAATTTCTGATAAACATATATATAGAACAATTGAGTTTGTTTGACCTGTCTTCTTAAAAGGCTCAACCCCTAGGAAGCAAGCGGTTTTGCGATACGTATATTTTTATTTTGTTAAATCTATAGATATAAAAAAAGAAACTGATAGACTAATTCACTGACTGATTGATTGATCAACGCACAGCTGCAACCGATGGGTCTAGAAGCATGAAATTTTGCATAAATGTTCCATAGATGACGTAGGTGTGTACTAAGAAAGGATTTTTAAAATTGCCACCCCAATAAACTTAGTTATTTTTGGTAGTAACGCTACTACCAGGACATTCGGGCAAAATTTCATGCTTCTAGACCCATCGGTTGCAGCTGTGCGTTGATCAATCAGTCAGTGAATAGTCTGTCAGTTTCTTTTTTTATAGAAATAGATTTAGCAAAAAAAACTACTATTTAATCCTTTACGATGTATGATGTCGATCACGACGCGGACGAAGTCGCTGGCAACACCTAGTATTTGATAAAACAGAAACTGTTGCTGTTGTGCATGTTGATCTTTGACTTTTTTTTAAAGACAACTCAAGCATTAGGCATATATCTTGTGTCGCGGGGGACTTTACAAACATACATGAAACGGACACAAAAAAGATGCAAACTCAGAAAAACAATTGTGTGGGTGGGGATCGGATCCACAAAACTCAGCGCAGTAGGAAGCGGCGAGATGATCGCTTTAACTACTACGCCATCTGTGCAGACTATTTTTTTTATGAAATGATGATTATTTTGAGTTAGAGTTAGTTTCTTGGGTGGGAATTGAACTAGCAACTTCTGGTAATCCAGTCAAATATTATATAATTATATTCTTTATCTTTAAAATCTCTGTCAGCATCTTGATGTGGATATTTTTATCAACTCGTTTAAACTAGTTTCATTTGCCACGTACTTAGGTAAGGATGCCCACACATCCACGTGTAAAGATAATCATCATGTAGTTAGAAGCATTAAGTATCTTTCAAGGCATACTGTACTCGTATGACTCCACTCCACGAATATATACAGGTCATCCTGCGTGCATTCACAATTAGTAATATCCTGGATGAACTATATCGGACCATCTCCAAGAATTCCAGCCACTAGCAAACACATAGTTTAAATGTTCACCTATTTTTCTCCAGGTAGAAACAGCTGATTTGGCATGGAGGCTAAATATAAAGCTAGGCTACAATTTTGAGTAACGGAGTGAAATACATAGACATAAAAATAGAGACCTATAGATTATATTAGTCAATAATTAATAATCTAGCAGATATCATATCATCATGTTCAACTTTGTTGAGCTTAACAGTACGCTAATAGATAAAATTCGGTGATGATTATAGAATCGAAGGAAAATGAAACCAAAGTTCAAATTTTATCTCATTCGATGATAAGCATCATCGAATATTATAGCCGCCTTCAAAAACACAAAAGAGAAGGTTCTCAATTCAACAGTATTTTTTTGTATGTTTCCTGTCAATCGTGAACCGATTTTTTAAATCTTTTTGTAATCGATGAATATATGAATGGGTATTATTAATATGAAGTGATCCCATTATCACCAAGTTAACATTTCATGACGGGATGCCCGAGAAATCGAGGGATACCTCAAATTTCACATCCTCGACGAGTTTTAGCTTTTTTTAGATTTAAAATTTACATATCCTATTAATTTTGCTACAACAATACAAACTCGACCGCACGGATGGCGTAGTGGTTTAGGCTGTCGCCACGCCGCTTCCTACTGCGGCGAGTGTTGTGGGTTCAAGCCCCACATGGGACGACACTTTGTGTGATCAACAAATTGTTGTTCTGAGTCTGGGTTTTCTTTGTGTCCGTTTCATGTATCTTTTTAAAGTCCACCGCGACATAGGAATGTATTCCTAATGCGGGAGTTGTCGTTATGAAAAAAAAAACTAGATATTCTAGAAAGTCATGTTCATTAAATTCAAAAATTGATCAATCAACAAGTTCCCCATCGTCTCCTTGACCAGACCGGCCCTTGGCGACAGGAATGTTGCGTTTCTACATGACTCTGAAGCCTATGCCCAGTTTCAATACCTGCATCAAACCATGGCAGCTATTCGCATCAGCAGGAATAACAAAATCACTTTTTTTTTTCAGAAAGAATAAAATGCGTGCAGAAATTCCTGCTTTTCAGAGATGTTGTGTGTGCATACCTTTGCGATATGGTTTGATTGTATGGGGATATTATAGATTGGTAAGTATTATTCATAAAAGATTTAAAGACAAAAAGCGAGGAAATCATATTTTCAAATGGACAATAAATTGAATCCTTTATCTGCTAACTGTCTATTAATAGGAAATGTATGCGTAAATCAAAAAAATCGATTAAGACTATATTTATTATGTCCAGATAGTGTAGCATTTATTTACAAAACATATTGATTGCCTGGCATACGTGACAGCTTGTTCATTCGATTAATTTCGCTCTTGCCGATGTTCTTCGCCTCACCTGCAACTGTTCATCGTAACAAAATAGGATGTCCACCAGCCACCACCACTTTAAGATTAGAGTACGCAACCTCCATGAACTATTTTTGACGGAATCATCAGAATAACTATTGAAGACACCTTCATTATTGTATGTATATGTGTTTGTTCATATTGTTTATATTTACTGTATCATACGAGTATAGTATGTATACATTTTTGTATTAATATAATATGTATACCTAGTGTATCTATGTAGTATAACACCTTGCAACTCGTAACAATTTAAAATAATTAACTCATCTGCTTTAATTATACAACTGTCTGTGCGCCAGTGCCTATCAGTTAGCTTACCGCCTCATTTCGAGCTCGTCCTGGTCGTCCCGCTCTCACCCCGGCGGATCGTGCGAGTCTGGTCATAGACCCTCGCATCCATATCCGCCAGGATATCAAAAGGCGGGAAACTTGCCAGAACTGTAGCCGCCTCCGATGAAATCGTGCGGTAACCCCGTACGATGCGAATGGCCGCTACCCGCTGTTCGCTTGACCCATATCGGCGCTCCGTAGAGGGCCATTGGTCGTATTATCGCACAGTATAGGCGGCAAACTTCCCCGCCGCCCTACTGGTAGCCTTCTGAGAAGGCGGGCAGCATTACCACGTCGAATGGTAATGCTAATTCTATGTGCTAGAAAAAGGCTCGCCTTCTGGTCACGAGAGGTGTCGATCAGTCGCTGAATTAGTTCTTTATAAAAAGAATGAGTACTAGGACCTCGTTCAATTTAGTCTAGTTTTTCTGTTATTTTGAAATTTTGTAATATTATGAATCCGATGTTGTGTAATTTTTATGATATTGTAATTTTGCCTATGGTTTTATACCTGAAATAAATTATTATAATTACCTATATCATAACTTTACAGCTCCTGGCTGGATACATTTTAGTTACTATTTGCTTCGATATAAGTCGATGCGTGGAACTCATGAATTCCGAAGAAGAGAAACACAAGGTCACCACGTCAAATATTATAATTTTATGTTTAACTCTTATTATAATGATAGCTGATATTATATTGGGCATACTATTCATCGTCGGATGTCACAAGGTAAGGCATAAACGTCTTAGCGCACCAAATGACAATAGATACATATATAAGGGCAAGTTAGAATGTACCTTATTCCGTTAATGACAGAGTCACTTTTTATTTAAGTGTATTTATAAAGTGAGCCTTCTGTACCTCAAAAATGTTATACCTATAAAAAATTGTATATACCTTTATGCAGATATTTTAACATTATTAATGAATAAATGAATAGGAACTGGCAAATTCTTCAATTTCTATCTCTGTCTCTGCATCTTACGCTATCTCCACAATTTATATATTTGCCCTTCAAATAAATAAAAATACCATTTCTTACTATAATCCATTAATAAAAATGACCCGTCAATGTAATGATATCTCAAAAATCAATAAATTACTAGACGTTTTTGATCATAACTATAACAGATATAATAAATTAGTGAAAGGAATCCTCCATAGTGAGTTGGGTTTACAATTCATTCGAATCTGCATCACATTAGCTGCTTACTTACTTTGTTACTTATTGTTACATTAATTACAGTATTAATCAGAGATTATTTTTGTATAATTTTTATTGTTTTTCTTTGTGCACATATGAGTTACGTTACGATCCAGATCTAAACGCTGTATTTATGATTTATGTTTTAATTGTTTGTAATGTGTTTTGTGAATTTAATAAACATTTAAAAAAATCGTTCTATGAATAAATCAGCGAAACTGGAAGTTAGTTGGGTTATGTACGAGTATAAGTGTCTGAAAAGGTGAGAACGCACTTGTGACTGGGTTCAGGAGTCCATTGATGGTAGTCACTTACCATTAGGCCACCCATCTGTTCGCATTCGATCTGCACTTTAACTCAGTGGCACTCCCGTGAAAACCTTTATACAGAGGTGTCGGTAGCGGTAACAGTAACAGTGTAGCAAGTTCAATTGTGTTTTTCCATCTAAAATATGCCCAACGCGCCTAAAGATGTTTTCATTTCAACAGAGGTGTCGTTAACGGTAACGGTGTCGCGAGTTTAATGGTTTTTTCCGATAAAATACATTCTTTTGGTTGTTGTTCGAAAATGTCCAAAGCGCCTAAAGAAGTTTTCACTTCAAAAATATTATCATCAAATATGTACTTAATTTTGATGTAATTTTTATTTCAGAAAAATGTCTCTATACTTGAGAGGTATTATCACTACAGTCTAGTGTTATTAGCATTACTTGTGCCGCTATGTTTATACAATTTTGGAAGGACCCTAAACTATATGTCCATATCCAAAATGCCGTGGACAAAAATAATCTTCTTATTTGTTCCTGAATTCATTGCAACAATCAGTTATGTGGGTAAGTATTCAGTGAATAGGTATACTCGTAGTATGAAATTACGTCACCCCTATAAGTAATATCTCTTTTCTTTCGTTCCATTGCTTTTTATCCACCCCTTTCCTCTGAACCTAAAAATCCCTTTTTTTACCCGACTTCGAAAAGGAGCAGATTATCAATTCTGATGTTTTTTTTTATTTATGTTCGGGCATAAATCCGTCAAATTTAGACAGATTTTTAAAATTCATTTTTTTGTTCGAAAGGGAGTTATCCGAAATGGTCCCTTTTAAATTTTACATAGATGAGATGATGAGTATCGGCGATAGACAACGAAACTCTTTAAAAAATGACAGCAAATCAACCGCGATTGCTGCTAGGTTTTTAGTGATCTTTGTTAGTATTGTTTGATTGAAGTCAGTTCAATTTTTTAAAGAAAAGAATTTATTTTATTTTCAAGTGAGTGAGCAATGCTTCGTCATATAAATTAGTCAGCTGACCCGCCTCGCAAAAAAAAAACGTTTCGTAAATGTTTCGTGTTGTTAACGCAATTGTTTCATTGCTTTAAACCGAGTGTGTTGGTTACCGAAGACCCGAGTTGTGAGGTTTCTTCTTCTTTTGAGTTTCAGGTGGTGATGGGATGCGGTACTTACTTACCATCACTAAATTATAGTTGGATATTTGTGATATTTCTCGCTATCTATCGTTTAGATAAAGAACGAGCCTATTTAGACGGGCCTGTTGGTCTAGTGGTTAGTGACCCTAACTGCTAAGCAAGAGGTCGTGGGTTCGATTGCCACCCAGGGCGAATTTTGTGTGATGAGCACGATCATTTGTTCTGTGTCTGGGTATAATTTATCTATGATATGTATGTATTTAGAAATATACAAGTATGTTTATCAGTAGATTGGTTACAATGATACAGGCTCTACCTAGTTTGGGACCAGACTGCCGTGTGTGAAGTTATTACGAGTATTATTATTACAAAGGCGTGAGTGTGTGTGTGTAAATTTAAAGTGAAATATAGTTTAAAACAAGACTTTCGACGTTTTGACATTGTTGACATAGCTCAGTGATGCCTTAAACTCTAAACTGTTTTAGCCATATTAAGAATTAATAAGTGTTTAAATACACTGGTAATTATCATCATGATCACCAAAGAACCCATCTACCCATTACAATGTTTTACATTAAATTAATCATCTACAATCACATCATCATCATCAACGGTCTTTAATAGTCCACTGCTGGATATAGGCCTTTCTTTAGAAATTAGGTTTGGGCTTACTATACGAGTACCACGCTGGCCAGACGGGTTGTATAGGGTGTGTGTCAAGTTTTCCCTCTCTTAGCAGTGCTATTGTCCTGCATGGCTTGTTCCCTTATACGGTTCTTACGACACCCACGGGATGATTAAGGGTAGTGATGCTCCGTATCCTTAACCCATCACCACACGGATAACTACTAATATAATTTTAAAAAGGGCAGGGAAGTTATGATGATGCTGATGATGAAATTAATTTACTTTTTGATTTATTTACTAAGTTCTTTGGTAATATTTTATTATCCTTGTAGTTCATTATTCATTTTTATTTCAGTTATACAAATATACATCGTGCTCTTAGTGCGAAGTGAGATTTTGAAACTACGCAAAGAATATCAATTCAGATTTGAAAACAAAGTAACCCAAGGGGAATGTTTTGTGAACATTGAAGACTCGATTGAAGGGAAGCTGTTGGAGAACCTGAAAGCGATAGACGACGATGATTAAAATACTTCAATAAAAAATTATAACCTAAAGAACATTCTTTATAATTAAAAATGTAATTAAAGAATCGTTTTTTTTTAAATAAAACTTTTATTTATAAAGCCGCCTATGATAGCTTGCCTATCGCAAAGTGTTCATGGCTATTTTTTATTAAATTAATTTTAATGTTTTTTTTTTCATCGCCTTCACTCTTGTGATAACCAAACGAATTTAGTCTCAACAGATAGGTTTTAACATAGAGAATAACCTTGGTAGGGCTGTCTACTTATTTCTGTTCATAGCTACCCGGCAAGCAGGTATAAACAGGCAAGTCAATATAGGTAACTTCACCGATATGTTAACCAGTAAAATTGGTATCAAAAGAAAGATAATTTAATTACCAAAATAACAGTAGAGGCTTGTCTGCAAAAACACGTTCATGGAATATTATTGCCATGCTGTAAAGTTTAAAAATCGGAGCGATTAATTATGTGCGAGAGAGAAAGTAGAGCGTCCGAAGACCGTGTAATAGAACAGGACGCAACATAGCAGCTGCGCGCGATCATTCTGCGACCTAGTGCGCATTCTCTTATACATAGGACTTTGTCAGTCCTTCTTAAATTCTCTCTTCGTCTTAAATTGTAGAAAAATATTATACAGACTGTATAAAATCGCACCCTAAAAACTGCGGTTGGTAAACTGCGGTCGTAAACTGAAAAGAAAGTTATTGAATACTAGCTGACCCATGCGGTTTATCCCGCGTGAACTTTGAAATCACCAGAAATGACAAAAGTTACACCTCCCACCACAGCACTTGAGTTACGGAGTTCTTTTAATGTCCGTGTAATGTGTCTACTGCTTCAACATGACCCCATGGCTTATGGTGCATTCATCCCATATTATGTGGGACGTATTTTGTAATAGGATTCCCAAAAGACCGTTTATTTTTTAATTGAGCATACAGATTGTTGTTCTAAAGACAGTTAAAGGCAATGCCCACTCTATTGAGAAGGAAACATCGCGGCGCGCGGAAACGGTTCGTGTAAAGCATTTTATACCAATATAACTTCGAAATTAAATGTTCATAATTAAATGATATCTGCTTAACGAATTGACCAATTTTAATGATGTAAAGACAAAAAAAATTGTACTTGAAATTATCTCGATGATGAAATACTTTAATTTTATAAGGATTAATATAATCACATTAAAAAATGTATCTAAAATATATACTGAATATTTAATAATTTTAAAAACGCTTTTTATAGCTTAGCTGTCATACTAACTTTTAAACTTTCGCGTTCCATGATAATTAATATTATTTAACGGGAATTAACTTAACAAAGGAATTGAGTCAGCCTGTGACCACGGCCGGTGCAACCTGGTCGAAACGTCAGGCAAACCAGAGGTATGTAATACCCTAAATAAGAGATCGCGTTAATTCCCGTTAAATAATATTAATTAGCTGTCATAGATAGATATACCCACTCGTGAACTTTTTTGTAGATCTTTTTTAGTCCTACAATTCTTTAGCACAATATTTCGTTTTATCTTTAACCATTTAAGCATCGCACGCGACGAAAGGAAATTTTTGAGACGATTTTTCACACCTTGGTTAACATAAACTATTTTTTTTTGCACATGTCTAAGTTTTGTAGAAATAAATTATAGCTTTTGTTACTTCCTGATAATATAGCTTTCTATTAGTGAAAAAATGGCTAAAATCGATAAAAACAAACAAACAAAAAATCTTACCTTTTTATATTATTAGCATAGATTATTAAGCTATTTTTTTTTTTCTTTATTATACATACACGCAGGTGATCACCGAGAAAGGATGCTTCGGGGATCACCTGTGTCTAATCCGCAAGGAGCCAACCGTGGACACGGCGCTCCACTAGTTTGCAGAATGCCCGGCTTGGGTTAGGCAGATACGTGACCTCGTGGCGGCCATCGGAGTTGGTATTCTCTCGCTTAGTACCATGATTGCGGCCATGCGAGAGCTTCTGTGATTAAGTTATGCTTGCGAAGGAGACGGCGGAGATATTTTTCCGGTCCGCCCGGGCACGGTAGAGGTGCCGCAGACGACTCAGGCGCCAGAGGTCGCACATAAAAAAAAGGGTAAAATAAAATAAAAGTTTTTTTTTATCCATTTATTATCGAAATAAAGTTTCATGTCAGTCGCTCCAAAATACTGTCTCTGTCAGTCCCGTGTATAAGAGCATGCGCATTGGGTCTCATTCAACAGACTGGTCACGTGTAACTGCTATGTTGCGTCCTGTTCTATCACACGGACTTCGGACGCTCTACTTTCTCTCTTGCGCATTTTTTTTAAATTTAAAGCTTGGCAATATTCCATGAACGTTTTTTTTGCAGGCAAACCTCTACTGTTATTAGGTAATTAAACTATCTTTCTGCCAATACCAATTTTTATTGGTTAACATATCGGTGAAGTTATGTACCTGTATTGACTTGCCTGTTCATACCTGCTTACCAGGTAGCTATGAAAAGAAATAAGTAGGCAACCCTACCAAAGCTATTCTCTATGCTAAAAACTATCTGATGTGACTTAATTCGTTTGGTTATCATAAGAGGTGATGAAAAAAAATTCATTAAAATTAATTTAATTAAAAATATCCATGAACACTTTTCGATAGGCAAGCTATCATATGTAGCTTTGTAAATCAATAAATTTTATAAAAAATAAGTCTCATCTGGTTATCATATGGGACCTATTTTGGAGGTCGATTTACCACGGTCTCCACTACTATCTACATAGAATAAATAACATTGTTCACTGCAGCATATCACTGAACAGTGCATTGATATTATTTTATCACTGACTCTAAAGGTCAATTATCGATAGCTCGATTAAAAGAATAGTGTCATAACTAAAAATTTGTTATTTTGCGTTTAACTTGTGAGTATCCTGCTTAACAGCATTCTTCTTTTATTTTTAATTCAAAGGCTTCATCGGATATCGACGATTCTGCCAACGTCAGGGTGGAAGGTAAATTTATTAGTTAATAGATTGAAAATAGTTTTGAGACAAAAAGGGGGATTTGTTGTGAGTAGTGTAGGGCATGAGAAGAAAATTCGTTCAAGAGTGCCTTCATCGAGATCGCACTCGCATAGAGAGTGATCACGAACTCGAATTTTGGCAAGAAATACTGGGGTACTGACAAATCCTAATCGTATACGAATTATAGTAGAGGTGGCTGACTTATTAAAATGCTTTTGCTTGAAGAACCAGGATCTAGATGGAATTAAGGGTTGTAGAGATATATAAAATTTACCCTTGACCATTCTTCTGTTTCGCCATGTATTATTCCAGGATCCGGTTAATGAAAGTTTAGTTAGGAAAGGCAGATCTTGAGCGAAACAGAATCTGTGGGATGTGCATCCAGTTTGTGCTGCTACTTTGGCGCAGGTGTCTGCAGTTCATTGCCTGCTATACCTGAATGACTGGGGATCCACGCTAGCAGTAATTCAATACCAGCCAATAGGCATCTATGAAGAACCTCTTTAATTCTAAGAATTATAGGGAAATAATTGCGAGCTTTAAATGGGTTTTTTAAAAGACCTTGCAGGCAGGTCAAGGAGTTTGAAAAAATAAGGGCCGACAGGTGGTATCCGAGGGGATTTCCGCACGGGAAAAAAAAAAAAAAAAGGGGGGTCATCCGTGCTCATTTACGAAGAAATGAGTGCGGCTGTCTACTTTCACTAACCTTACCAAGGATTGTTCTCCCAACACAACGACACAAACACTACTCACTCAGTGTTCGCAAACGTTAACAGCATTAAGTTGTAGTATATTATATATTTTTAGTTATTAACCCTCCAACTAAATAAAAATTCACAAATTTTAGAAATTCAAAATTAGTTTCTTCGCTAAGTAGATAAATGCTTATTAATTTTGTAACTTAGACACATACCATACGTAATCCTGTACCGAGAAATTGATGATTTTGAGTTGTGTCACTATTCTTACATGAGATGTGTTGTGACTTGTGATAAATGAAGTCAGAACACTGTAACTTATATTTACACTCTAAGCAAGAGATTTGGCGAGCAGTTAAAACTTTTTTTTTTTTTATTATTTGTAGGACAATAATATACGACGACTCCTGGGGGACTTTAAATACATATCGTGATATTTATCAGTAGGTTTTACTCAGGTTGTAAATAGTTGTCTGTTTTTAAATCATAGTAACAAATAAGTACAAAATGCGTATAGAACTCCCCGTTTGTAATAAGTGTTGTATGTGCTTACCTTTGCGGTACGGTTTAATCGTATGGGGATATTTTAGACTGGTAAGTAAAGTTTTAATGTTTAAATAAATATAATTGAATTTAATTTGGGTCACAATCGGCGATCACCACACCGCTTCCTACTGCGCCGAGTGTTGTGGGTTCAAACCCCACGTGGGACGACACTTTGTGTGATCCACAAATTGTTGTTCTGAGTCTGGGTGTTCTTTGTGTCCGTTTCATGTATGTTTGTAAAGTCCCCCGCGACATAGGATATATTCCTAATAGGGGAGTTGTCTTTTTAAAAAAAGAAAACAAAAAAGAGTTTACGTTTTACCAGTTCTTTCTAAGTAACGTTTTTCGAGACGTTTTGATTTTTACTGTTAAAAGTTCATTTCAACTATGACACCAAAAAACAATCCTACTACGAGTACATACTACTTAATTACATTTCTATGACCAGTTATCATCAACAGCCTTTAACAGTGCACTGCTGCCCATAGGCCTCTCCTTAGGAAAAAGGTTTTGGCTTACTATACCACGCTGGCAAGACGGGTTGGTATAGCGTTTGTTTCAAATTTTCCTTCTCTTTGTAGTGCCGCCGTTGTACGTAGTTTGCTTCCTTAGTCACCTCTTACGACACCCACGGGATGAATAGGGGTGGTGACACTCTGTATTCTTAATCCGTCACCACACGGAACGCCCTATGACCAGTAGCATATTATGTGTAGTGAAAACTAAAGTTCATTAACATTTAAAACATATTACATCTTACAGATCTTAGCCAGCTTCGTCTTAGTCTGTATATCTTTTATAATAGAGCGATATGTACAACTGCTGAGGTCTGAAAATCCTGTTAAACATGAAGTCGCAATATCTGAGTACGTAGTTTTATGTTTGGCAGCTATACTAGTGATTGCAGATATTATGCTGGGAATTATATTCATCGTTGGATGCTATAAGGTGAGTGTGACTCGTTAGATAAATTTGTTTTTGACCAATTTCAAAAGAGGATATGTGTGTATGATGTTACCCGATTAATCAGTTAGCTCCAGCCGTGGAAAAACCATACAGTTTTTTTTTCTTCATCTTCTTCACATCTGATGGAAAGAGATTACCGCCGCCCATTAACGCCTGCAACTCAGCAGTCACAAGTACGTTGCCGACCTTTGAGGAAGGATTAAGCTCTTTTCTTGAAGGTTTGAGGGTCGTATTAATACGGAAATAAAGAGACGACAACGTGTTCCACTGATTTTCCAACCAAAAAGTGTCTGCATACTTCGCCACATGAGCTGTCTGTGGATACTTCCACATGAGCTGGATTTTGTTGATTCAAGTGAGTAAGAGTACCAGGGACTAAACTTCCCTAATTCTGAGAAGGAGGGATACTGAAATAGCGGGCAACCAGTTTGTATCAGGTGACCCGTTTGCTGGATTTGAAGTATTTTAACTCTAAGGTCTCTATGGGCGGCATTAGGAGATGAAAAATACCGCATATTACAAAAATTACCACTGATTTAACCCTGACACACTTCTTCGCTCTACTAATAATCTGCTCCGTCTTTGTCATTCATATATTGTCCTTTGTTCCTTCGATGTCCAAGCTGTAAGACTTTGAAACTCGCTCCCACTAATTATGGGCATGGCAGCTAAAGAATTAACGTTCACGCTTCTAATTTACATTTTTAGATAGTAAATTTATTTTTAATTTTTTCTCATATTTTTTTTTGTAAAGACAACTCCCGCATTAGGAATATATCCTGTGTCGCGGGGGACTTTACAAACATACATGAAACGGACACAAAGAACACCCAGACTTAGAACAACAATTTGTGGATCACACAAAGTGCCGTCCCATGTGGGGTTTGAACCCACATCACTTGGCGCAGTAGGAAGCGGCGTGGCGACCGCTTAAACCACTGCGCCATCTGTGCGTGCAAATCTTGAGGACTTTGTATTTTTATAAGATACATGTTAATTTAGTCTTTTATTTAACTGGTTTCAAATATACACCTGCTACAAACAGATACAAATAGCTTAGTTACAACCAAAAGTTTGAAGGAAAAAAAATCCTCGACCATTTAATCCGGCTATATATACCTACTAACAGAAAGTTTAAATAAATAAAATGATGATTTTGACGCAATGACGTCCGTTTAGAATTGTTAAGTGAATAGATTTGTTTTATAACTGATTTTCATGAACATCAGCAGAAAAATACATGCCAACTTTCATACTTTTTATTCTCAAATTCCTTTTTTTTTCAGAAAAACACCAAATTAATCCGGAAATACTACCACCATAATCTATTTTTGTTGACGTTATTAATACCACTATGTCTGTATATTTTCGGAATATACTTAATCGATATGATTAGATCTATGCCGTTATTGGATCTTACTTTGTATGTAATCACTGACTTTGTCGGACTATTTGCTTATATCAGTAAGTATTTTGAGTATTTTATTTTTATTTTAGATATAAATGGCAATACAGTGAAACCAAGAAGAAAAATATATAACCGTATAATTAAACTTTATTTCTAAGAGCGTGACTTCAGCGGTATTCGTTTTATTATTTTTATTTAATTCATTATAACCATACCTACACAGCATTTAATAGTTACACATATGAAACACCAGAGAAATTTAATAAATTGCTTTGCATATTTTTTTACCCGCTAAGTTTAACCCGCGACTTCGCCGGCGTAAATGTCGGTTATCGCGATAAAATGTCGTCTTTGTCTTTCCTCAAGTATCAAAGTATCTTCATACTAAATTTCACCCCCTTAAAAAATGATTACTGGGATAAAAACTACCCTATGTGCTCGGTGTACTCGGACGATCTTTGTACCCAATGTCATCTAAATCGGCTCAGTGGTTTAAGCGTGAAGAGGTAACAGATAGACAGACAGATATACTTTTGCATTTATAATATTAGTATGGTTTTGCATAGACCAAACAAAAAATGTTATTCTGTTTACGAAATACTTGGTTTTAAGTTTGTGTAAAATTTTAAATATTGTGATTTAGATATTATATTATATGTAATACTTACACCTATAAAACTCAAGCCAAAATAATAGTAAATGACATAGAACAGAAATATTAAAAAAAAACTTCACGTCCTCAGCGAAAAAGCATAAAGAATAAAGACCTTCAATATATTATTTATGCTTGTATATACTATTTAATATCACAAATGATTTCCACCCCGTCATCAAAAAAAGATATGTTTATTTGTGTGATATTCTAAGTATCGTTTAGAAATGAGAGCTACTTCTAAAGGACCGCTAGCATGTTTCCCGAATTGGACTTATTCTTTTGATTTGTTTTAATAAGACAACTGCCGCACTAGGAATACATCCTATGTCGCGGGAGACTGTACAAACATACATGAAACGGACACAAAGAACACCCAGACTCAGAACAACAATTTGTGGATCACACAAAGTGTTGTCCCGTTTGGGGATCGGACCCAGAACACGCGGCGAGGTGACCGCTTAAACCACTACCCTATCCGTGCAGTCGGATTGTCTCTGTCAGATTCTAATTGTCTCTTTCTCGTGACAACTTAAAGATGCTTGTAAATATGCTTAGAGATGAAGGATAATTTTGTAAATATGTATGTATGTTTAAATTAATGTTTTTACTATTTTCCTAGTATTTTTACAATATTTTCTCAGCGTATCAACTTTTCCTGGATGCTAATTTAATTCATTCTTTATTCATTCATTAAAGTGTTCACCAAATCGCTTATATCAATACTAATTTTAATAAAAATAAACTGCATACTATTACAATTGCTAAAATCAGACCAACAGACCACCATGACCAAAGAAATAACATAAAATTTGTAAACAAAAACAACTTTACATTAACTTAGGAACTATAAAATTACTCTTTAACATTTAGATAAATGTTTATGTTTTAAAATTAAACCTTGGTATTCAAAAAATTTATCTGCATCTGGACTACTGTGAAGTTACTCATTGGTAAGCCTGATTGATATGGGAGTTATTATCAGCACTTATTGTCAGCCTGGGGATGCGCCACGTAGGCGCATGGCACAGGAGTCTATATTGTCGTCTTCTGCTTTTTGCATTTGCATGATTGGTTTGATAAAAATATCCGTGGGAGAGCCATCTATCTAAGCAGCCTGTTGCACCCATAATGTGAGTGAGTGAGTTTATCGGAACCCAAACTTTCCTTTCCCCTTGATACTGGGGGCTCAAAGGTTGGCTACGCGTTTTGTGACTCCTGAGTTACAATTTTCCCACTATAATAAATAATATCTATCCTAAAAATAGACAGAACAGCTATGGTAACTAGACTGCTGATAAACATACTTATATATTTCTAAATACATACATATTAAAGATAAAGTACACCCAGACCCAGAATAAATGAGCGTACTCATCACACAATTATTTGTCCAAGGTAGGAATGGAACCCACGACCTCTGAAAACTGAAAACAGGCCAGTCATATGCAGATCATAGACATATTACTTCAATCTTACATTTTTTTTTTGTTTCTTTTCCAGCTATACAAATTTACATAATACTACTCATCAGAAGTGAGATCATCAAATTGAAAAAGGGTTCTGAATATAGATTTGAAAACAAAGTGGCTGAAGCGGAAATTCCCTTGAATGTTGTTATCTCAAATGGAGGAAACAAGGAAGAGATAGGCTATGACGATGATAATATGAGTATTATTTAAATTGACAGAAAGATTCCAAAATTAAATTTTTAAAAGAATATGAAAAGCTTTTTTTTTTGCTTTGCTCCGTGGCTCTACCCCACACTGTAATCTACGTAATTACCATAAGAAAGAACTGATGGTGGAACTGATGGAACTGGAAATGGTTGAAGAGTGAGAGCAATAGCTCGAATAGGTCAAGGTCACATACTCGAACTGGCTGCTGCTGAATATATAAAAAGTGTGACTTAAAATCAATTCAGATTTTATCTGTATCATCAACAGCCTGTAGTAGTCCATTGGCTGAACAGTGGCCTCTCCTTAGAAAGAAGGTTTTGGCCTATTATACTGGCCGGGCGGGTTGGTCTAGGGTTTCTGTCAAGTTTAACTTCTCTTTGCAGTGCTCTTGTCCGGCGTAGTTTGCTGCCTTAGCTGGCTTTTACAACACCCATGGTAAGAATATGGGTACTGGTTTTGGCAGAATATTTTCATGAAGGCAATCATTTTAGTGTTCTGTATGGATGAAGATAACATATTTGGTGTCACAACATTCAATTGTAGTCAACCTCCATTACTTGATTTTTTTTATTATTAGATTGAATTGGCAGGCATTGAATTACTGGCTACCACGGGGGTTTCACTGGTGGTTTCTCTGGTGGTTGGGCGCATTGAGGCGTTGGGCTTAAGGGAGGCCCTGAATAAGGCGTAGGCCTTCTAGTTACATGGAACCACCCTCCAGTGCCTCCATTGTGGTCAATTTGGTCTTAGTACCGTATGACAAGAGGTGGCTCTTCGACGAGCACTTCAAACAACTTGCTGCGTCTGCCCTTGAGCGACTCTTGCGCGATTTCAGTAGATCTAGAGTCACGACAAGACGGCTGCACACGGGGGTTGTCCGGTCAATTGCACTGTACGGTGCACCGATTGTGGGTGGTGGTTCTGGCCGTCCAGAATACAGCACGCTTCTGGCGGCCTCAGAGGATATTGGTGGTTAGAGCCATATGCAGTTATCGCACCGTGTCGACGGAGGCGGCGGGCACATTGACAGGAAGGTTGTTAGGATTTGTAGGCGTAAGTCCTCGCTGAAGTCTATTGGCGGACGGCTGAAGATATACCCGAGTGGCGTAAGACCGCTCGACGATATGCGAAGGCGGTAGTCAGTCCCCGCCTGATATACCCGAGTTGCGTAAGACCGCTCGACGAGCTGTGATGGCTAGAGGTTTCACATGCTGGCACGTCAATTGGGCAGGGTGGTAACCCTTTACTGCGAAAAGACCTGCGGAAGGAAGGAAAAATACTTCCCTAAAAAGGCACGACAGGCACTTTTTAAAGCTCCAACTACCCTCAATGATTGCCATAGATGTTGGTATGGCAATCGGAAGTGACAGCGCTCTCCGAGGCACGAAGGGGTCTCAATGTGATTGCTTAACTATACAATGTTAATACATTGCAAAGTTACCTACTGGGTTACCACATAGCCACAAGCCCGTTACTAATGCCACTCCCCTAAGTAAATGCTGGGTACTCTCATGGTAGTGACACTCGGTATTCTTAATCCTTCGCTACACGGACATTCTGTATTCATTAGTAAAACTGTAATAATTTATCTGTATACAACACATTGTTTTATCATTAACCACATGTTGTGAATAATAAGTTGACACATATATGCAATTTAATGGTTATGACAGATAATTAATATCTATAGTATTTATTTCAACAATCGTAGCAAAGTTTTCAATACAAGAGCACATTAAATTAGTTAAATACATGTTCAATCAAATAACAGTGTTATAATTATATAATTAATAATTACTTGTTCAGTCTTTCGTTGAAGTGAAAAATGCGTACAGAAATTATCGTATGCCAAAGATGTTGTATTTGTATACCTTTGCGGTATGGTTTGATCGTTTGGGCGTATGCCAGACTGGTAAGTACTACACGTGTTTTAAAATGGGGTTTCTCATAAGATGAGAAAGAGTTTCACTATCTAAGTACCTCTTGGGTACCTGATCAGACCATCGGAACTAAGCATAATAGGTTAAAAATCCAGTAGTTCAAACATCCACATCCTGGCTTCAAAATCAGCTCCAAGATGTGTTTCAGGCGAGGTTTCATTTCGATATGATAATTAGTAGAATAAAATGTAATTTCAAGAATTTTGTACATAGCATTCTACAAGCAATGGTTTTTTTTATGTTAGAGGGGGCAGGGAGGGACTTTATACTGAGGGCTGAGTATTTTACTCCTTTGCTTGCAAGGTTATCTAAGAAGAACCTACTTAATTGTAATGCATAGCATAAAGCTGAGCCATAGTAAGATTCTGTGAAAACTTTTTTGCATTTATTTGTCGTTTAAGGGGGCAAATAAGCAGACCACGGATCACTTGATGGTAAGTGACAACCACACCTGAATCACCTGAATCAGGAGGAGAAGGGTTAGAGTTACTCTAACCCTTCTCCTCCTCCTCCTCTAATATGCTTTGGAAGAGCAAGCAAACAACAGTTTATATCTCACTTTTCAAAACTGTAAATGTTTCCAAATGTCATACTTTACTTACAGGTTCTGGCCGGTTCAGTATTGTTTGGCATGTCCTTCACTTTAAACCGAGCTGTACATAATGAAAGGCCGGACAGGACAACTGACTTAGTAATTTCAAGTTTGATTATAATTTTAGTGAGCGCAGATATTATACTGGGTGTCATATTTATCATTGGATGTCATACGGTAAGCCTTATGTGTTACAGAGAAGTCGGGTCGAATTTTGTAAACGTTGTGTTTTATACAAACAGTTTTTGTCCTGTTATTTTTGGAAATAGCTATTATTAAAAGCACATTTCTAAGCATTTTATGAATTCAGTGTCAATTTCAATTTCCTCACCAGAGGTTAAGATGGTATAGTGAACCAGGCCTGACTACAACCACACTATGTGCCACCACTCTTTCAAGGGTCAAGGGAACGAAGCGTAGCGTAAATTAAACCTCACTGAATTTATCAAAATTTATTCAAGTGTTCCACATTCACAGTAGGTCAGGTGAACTCAAAAGACAATATTTGGCTTATATACTACGCGTGGTAAAAAAACATAGTGAATTTATAAAAAGGGTACAACGCCATCTATCGAGCTTTAGTTTAAACTTACTTAGTAATGCCATCAACAGTCACAAAAGAGTCTATTGTTTGAGATCTGGGAAACTCTAACAAGAAAGTATCCGAGAACCGCTATGGGACGGTGACTCTAATCCCCTTCTAGAGCAGTGAGGCGTGAGGATCACGACGCACTACCCCATGTCAGGTCTACTTTTGAAAGGGTAACGGTCAGCCCGACTCCTCACCTCCTTACCAGTCATAGGTAGCAGATAATGTCAGCCTTTACTCATAAAAAATGTTAGCTTGATCGTTGAATTTTGTAATTTAATTTGTCAGTAATTTCGTATTATAATTACATAAACAATTTCTGTGGAATTACGAATTTTTCAGAAATTGATTGAATTCGAGTCTAAAATTTAATTACACATTTTTGTAAGATGCTGTATATTTTAAAACATATAGTTCTACAACTTCTAACAGATTACCCATGGTTATATATCTTGATGCGCGTGAGCTTAAGGCTGGGGAATACTGGGGATCCATCTTTTAAACTTATAAGCTTCTATCACCCTCGTTTTAACGGTCGGTTACCCTTGTTCGGGTCTCGGATGGTAGAGGCCATCAGAACAGAGATTTTTAGTACAAGTGACCCTCTCTCCTAATGATAAAGTTCATTTTACATACCGTACTAATTCTCTTTTCAGAAAAATCCCGTGTTAATAAAGAAGTATTATTATCATAATCTATGCCTATTGGCACTGTTAATACCCTTTTGCTTATATATTTGCGGTTACTCTACATATTTTCTGATCAAATACAAAATACCGTTTGTGCGCTTAGCGGTGTATATATTAGGAGACATAATTGGATGTTTCACATATATTGGTAAGTGTTTTAGATTTTGTCTTAGAAATACAATTTAATTCGCCTTCTAGATTACTGAACTTAAAAAAGTAACTGTACCGTAAGTTTTAAGTAAATATAATATGGGCGAATTTATGTAAATGCGACTATTCCTTTATGTTTTAGATAAATTGGTCTTTTCAACTTCAATAAAGTGTAAAAAGTATGCATAAGCGCCTTTTTTGTGGTGCTAAAATTGAAATGAAACAAGACAGAAAAATGTAAAAAATTTAGGCAGATGCGCCTTGTTTCCTGATTCTGGAAATTCGAAAAAACTATGTTACATGCGCCTTTTTAACTATCGGGAGCAGTTGTATACTTGTGTGCAGCCGAATCGTTCTTTAGGAGTAAAATCCAGTCGTAGCTGACACAAACTTTTTTTAAAATTATTTAATATTGTTCCAGTTATACAAGTTTATGTGATATTCCTAATAAGAAGTCAGTTCATCAAACTTAATAGTGGATGTCAATTTAGATTTGAAAATAAAGTTGCTGAGGCTGCGTGTTCTCTGAGTATTGAAGACATGACAGGCGAAAATAATACAGACTACACAAAAACAAGACTGAATGACGATGACGACATAGGAAATTTTGTTTAAATATTATTTAACCAATATTACTCGTATTAACCTATAAACATGTTTAAGTTTATGAATTAAAAAAAACAACAATATTATTTACAAAAACAATTCAAGAGTGTTCTATTCTTCTAAGCTTCTACGTTATGGGTCGTTAAAATAATTTTTTGTTTTGTTTTCTTTATGTACTGTACTAACACTAGTCTCTAAGAATATACCATGGTCTGAAAAAAAAAAGAGTTGTTATTATTATTAAAGTTAAAGGTCTGTAAAATATTTTGGTGTGTTAGTTTCTTAGAATTAAAATTTAAAATAAGTGGGTATTACCAACTTTAATGCACGTACAACCTGATGAATTTTAATAACCTGTATATATTCTTCAGTCCTTAATTTTCCACTATTAGGGGTGATATTTTTTCTTTATTAAATACCAGCTCATGAAACAGGTTATACCTAGCATAAGTAGCAGGGCTCAGAAAACAATAATGTGAACAAAGTTGTTTTACAAAGTACTAAAACAAACATTCAAAAATAATAAAAAAATAAGATTATCACTTCACGGTTTCAGTTTTTGAGTCAGGAGAGTTTCGCGCGGATTTTTTAGGCTTCGCTTGACAGTGCCAGAGTCCATGTCTCATTTCTGTGAAGTGAAAGTACACCACAACATAACGCCTTCTGATTTAAATATATTTATTTATTTACATATCTTTATTGTACACCGCTACAGTATACAAGTGATTCTGAGTCGAAAATCATTGGAATTTTCTGCAGGCAAATTAAACTTTTTATGCAATCAGCTATCAAAGGTTAAGGCAGCCTTAGGGGAGGCCCTGCGCGCTTCGGCTGTTTGATTAATTAGATTGCAGTTTTTTGGTATTTATTAAATTCTCTCAGTAAAATGTTCTGTCTATTCATTTTGATATCATTTTACCCAAAAAAATGAAAAAGAAAAATGAGTTTTCCGGCAGAAAATTTCAATGATGGTCTGAATACACTATTTCAGTATTCGTTACGACGTCCCTTACACCGTGTATATTGTACAGACATGGATGGTGGATAAGTTAAAATATAAGTTAAAAATTTAAAAACAAGTATTGAATAAGTAGTAATCGAAACGTTTGTTTTTTCATTTCTAGAAACAAAACTGAAATGGCTAAACTGAGATAATGAAGTCGTAGCACATGTAAGGTTTTTATGAGATAATGATGCAAATACAGTTTCTATTCAAGTTACATTCCGCTGACTGATGATTAACTTCCTATATAAGATCGTGGCAATTTATTAACGATGCTGTTCCTTTTACAAATGACGTTTCAGAACTCAGGGAGAAGCTGAACCGCACATTTGAGAATCAGCATTACTTGAATTCTTATTTTAGTCACCAATGTTGTTTAACTATGTGTGTATTCTTGATTTAATTGGGACTAATCTCACCCACACGCCCACCACTGTAACTCCTGTACACCAGGATCCACAGCAGTGACCCACGAATACACCGAGTTATGACACTCGGGAAGTCCCAGGAAGAAATTAAACTGTCTTGGAACCCGCAACGAAATTAATCAGAAGAAAATTGGAGGAGTTGGAAATACAGTAAATCCACTTCCCTCCTTAGCAAAGCGGGAGACAAAATGAAGTAAAATGGGCATACACCCTTTTAAACAGGGAAGCACCACGGAAACAAATATTACGGGTCCTACGTGAGCTACGTTTGATTTCAATAATACTCGTATGTATGGCAGAATCGCCTAAACGCACGGAAATTCACCTTAGTTGACACAAGATCCCCATAGTATACCGCCCCAGATGTCACCTGCAAGCTATTCAGCATTATATTACGTTCATTATACCAAAGACTACATTCCCAGAGGATATGATGAGCAGACTGTTCATAGTGAGAGTAGGGTGTTGAGCATTGACACAATGGTGACTCGACTAATTTATATGAATAAAGCTTGCTCTTAAAGTTACCATGATCCTTAAGAAATTGAGCGACACAGTGATCCACCTCAAGCCATATCCTCGACAACCGTTCGCGAACAGATGGAAAGAATTGGTAAAGATGGCGCCCCTTGGATGATTCACCCCAGCGTTGTTGCCATTCGTCTATGAGGTCATTATAGACATCGGGCTGCTGTTGAAGCAATCTTGTAATTTTACCGCGATCCCGCGCGCCCAAATAATCGCATTCCATGTTTTGTTGTCTTGAATAGTACATGGCTGCACGTCTCTGCACCTCGAGATCGACCGGAAGCACACCCGCCAACACCGGCAAAGCCTCAGTGCTAACCGTCCTATATGCCTTACACAAGAATATCAGTGCAAGTCGTTGGCCTTGTAACAGTTTGCGACGGACAGCGCCTACGGTCGCCCTATCGGCCCATACAGGTGCACCATAGCACATAGAACCTAAATAAGTAGCTCCGTATATGATCTTTAATGTATTAAATGATAGACCCCGTGTTGCAGTTGATATCCTTGTCAATGCACAGAACTCTTTTTAGACTTTTCATTAACTATTTTAATATGTTCGATAAATGAAAAGTTTCTTTCTAAAACTAATCCTAGGTAACAGACTGAGGTTTTATTTTTTACAGTAACATTGTCAAATCTAATGCTTGGCGGTGATTTGAGGTTACCTTTTAAAAGTAGCTGGAAGGTTTTGTTGGGTGCAAAATTTAAGCGATTACGTTCATCCCATTGAGATATCAAGTTCAAACATCTATTGGCTGATCTCTCAAGTCCCGCCCTAGTATCAGATTCCACCAGTAATAAGCCGTCATCAGCATACGCGTTCAGAATACATCCGGATGGTATTGGTATCGCAAGAAAATCGTCGAAGCCGATATTCCACAAGTATGGACCTAGTACCGATCCCTGAGGATATCCCATTGTAAGCGCCTTCGACACAGAATGATGACCAAGTCTTAGTTTAGTTGTACCTTGTGAAAAGTACGAAGAGATAAGGGAATAAATATTTTTAAAGCACCCTCGTGATTTTAATTTCAGCAACAGCATGGGCCACCATGCGTTGTCGAAGGCGCCAGATATATCTAAGAAAATACCAGCCAGCACGTATTGAAATGTTGACTCTGTGACAAACTTTCTAACCGATATAACAGCGTCAGTTGTCGATTTACCCAACGTAAATCCAAATTGTCTATTATGAAATTTGACTTCACCTGGCAGAAGCCGGGGCACTACAAGACGTTCTAAAAGATTCGATCAAGATCGTTCCTAACGATGGTAACAATGTGATTGGTCGGTATGATTTAGGATCATCCGGTGGCTTGTCGCCACTTTTTGGTATTATACGAATATTACCGCACCGCCATATACGAGGAAATATTCCTTCAGCAATGCAACGGTTAAAGACAGTGAAAATCGTGTCACCCGAAAGTTTACAAGCTTCTTTTATCATTTTGTTTGATATTTTATCATCGCCCGAAGCCTTGTTTAGCGGCAAAGATCGAATGATACCGAGAAATTCGTCTGAAGATGGTAAATCAGACATTGGAGACAGTGGTGGTTCGATGGCCCACTGCCTGATCTGTCGGTGATGATCAGTGTCGTTTTCCGGCCGATCGTCAGGTACAAGTGATTCTAAAAGATATTCTGCTGTTTGTTCTACTCCTGTGGTATATCTGTTCTTGATTCTTGATTTATAATTTGTTCTTGGTTCTTGATTTATAACATAGCGTGAAAACACCTTATATATATATATATATATAATATAATATAATATATATATCTCACACATCTCACACATCCGTCTGATCCCAAACTAGGCAGAGCCTGTACTATGGTAACCAGACTGCTGAAAAACATACAGAAATATTTTTTTAATAGTTACATATTATTAATAAATTACACCCAAACACAGAACAAAAGACCATATGCTCATCACACAATATTTGTCCTGGGTGGGAATCGAACCCACGACCTCCGGTTTAGCAGTCAGGGTCACTAACCACTGGACCAACAGGCCCGTACAAATTTATATACATATTTTGTATTTTATAAATACATAGTTATAAAAATATATAGTGTAAATTTCAATATGCAGGCACTAAGTGCAGTAGTTTATAATCACTAAGGGCTGCTTGGAGACATCATTCTTACAAATTTAATCATCGTTCTTATGTGGTATCCAGTATCAATACTGTTTGATACATATATCTGGGTATCGAAAGCCATACTGTAGCTTTTCCATTGTTATTCTAATACGTAATTAAAGATTAGCGTATCCGCCCCCTTTGTGATAAAATCGGTGTAAATACCTACGCGTTCTTCAGCATTGAATCCAGATTTAAAGGGGCGTTATAAAATTAAATAATTTCTATTGTTTGTACAATGTGTTTCCGAAAATGTTTATTTAAGAGTTATATTGTACACTCCGTATATGATAGATAGATAGGGACTCAATTGCAATGAAGAATACAGTAATAGTACAGTAATATACAATAAACAGTAATACAATGGGTGGATATGGAACGTGAATTAATAATAATTGCAGTATCCTTAGTTTAGAACTCAAAATATGTAATTGAAAATGTAAATATAGAATTTGTATACAGTTTTTACATTTTAGGGTGAAGGGTAGAAAGGAATATCTTCATCGACAAAGCTGGCAATTCTTGAAAATTAAACAGTTTTTTTACAACCAAAACAGGCAGAGTAAACTTCAAACGAACATATTATGCAACTGGTAAAAACCCCTTTTTTTCTGTGCGGCAATCCCCTCGGATACCACCTATCGGTGGCATGTCGGACTCGAACCGACTAAAACCGCACGCCGTCTCGGGTACTAATAGCTGGGGAACCAGGTATACCCTAGAAAGGAAGTCCCTGGTGCCCCGACATACCTCGGGCCATCTACAGACGAGTAGACGACCCCTCCGTGTGGGAACCCCATGTTCCCTCTGCTCCCTGGAAGCGAGCGCGCTTTGCAACGCGCTCGCCGCCACCCCGGCCTGCTTCTGCTAGATTGACAGATGGCCTTACCTGTCACCCCCAGGCCTGCGCTTATGGAGGACGGAGGTCGTTCGGAGACCTCCGGCGCCTAAGTCGCCTGCGGTACCTTACCCGTTCCCTTCCCGAGCATAACTTGCTCGCAGAAGGAGACGGCAGAGTTCCACGCACTCTCGCTCCGCACGATAGCCGCAATCAGGCTATCGAGCTTGAGAACTCCGACTCCGATGGCCGCCACGAGGTCTCGCCTCTGCTCAACCCACGCCGGTCTCTCTGCCAGCGTGTGGAGAGCCGTGTCCATGGTCTGGCCATCGCAGTGGTGGCACTCAGGCGTTGGCTCCTTGCGGATCAGACACAGGTGATCCCCGAAACATCCTTTCCCAGTGATTACCTGCGTAAGTCGGTATGAGAGGGTCCCGTGACGCCTCTCGAGCCAATCCTCCATAACGGGTCTTACCTCTAAAAAAAATAATCCCCTACAGTTTGAAATATTCGAATAAGACAGATTTTTAAATTAACACACTGTTTAACAGGAATGAATAAAGAATTAAAAAAATATCTTTATAACGGAAATTCCTTTTCAAATGTGAAAAATATATCAAAATACGTTTATTATCCAACTTATATGACATAAACAACAAAACTTCCCAGTAGGTAGTCTGTTATGTTATTTTACCCGCGATAGTAACTTTTAAGTAGTGTTTTTGTTTACAATTCACAATAACTGGGATTTATCGCTGAGATTATAGGTCAAACAAATCATGCGCACAGCATATATAAACATATATATATATATAATTAGTCAAAATTCGTTCATTCATATAACTGGCAGTATTGAGTACAACTAACTTGTATTATACACAGTTTAGAAACATAAAAAGCGTCATTCTAAATATTACAAAAAATAGCAGCCAAGTATTTGATTGGAATCCGAAAACATCGAAAGTGGTTTGAAGACATTTAAATATTTAAAAAAATAAGTACAGTTTTATCGTTTGTTTAAGCCTGAAAGATTGAGTAGGTAAGTTGATTTTTTTTTATATGTTTTTGAATCGGACGCAAACCAAAGTTGGTTTGCGTCCGATTCAATTGTTGTTCATTCAAATGTTAAGTAACATTTAGGTTGGGTGCTAGGAACTTGTAAAGAAAAAACTGCCCAAAACTTTGCATAGTGCTGAAATTATATATGTATTTACCATTGGAATCTTTGTAATGGATGAAATCTTATATATAAAATTCTCGTGTCACAATGTTCGTTCCCGTACTCCTCCGAAACGGCTTGACCGATTCTCATGAAATGTTGTGTGCACATCGGGTTGGTCTGAGAATCGGCCAACATCTATTTTTCATACCCCTAAATGGTAAGGGTGACCCATCCCTTAATTTTTTTTTGGCAAAACAACGTTTGCCGGGTCAGCTAGTAGTGCATAAAATCTTCATCGTCATTCACTACACTACGTTACTTAAGTAACTTTATTAAACAAGCCATGTCTTTAATTGATAATTACTGATGACGGATAGAAAATCATTTGTTTTATATAATTAATTATTTCTTCATTTATAGAACAGTAGAAGTAAAATAAATTAACATTAAACTCTTAGCCGTTAAATTAATTAATAATAAAAATAGTGAGAGGAATTTTTAATATATTTTTTTAATAGATTTGCTTTTAATTATTTTCTTAAACTCTATCCACAGATTCAAAAAAATATAATGCGTTTCGAAATTCCAACATGTCAAAGATGTTGTATGTGTTTACCATTGAGGTATGGTTTAATAACATGGGGATATTTTAGACTGGTAAGTAAAACAGAGAAACCATTGTTTAGTTTTGTCTACATACCAAAAATTAACTTAATAATTAACTCAGGCAACCTTACTCACTTGATCATCATCGTCAACACCCTTTACTAGTCCACTACTGGACATAGGCCTCTCTTTCGAAAGGAGGTTTTGGCCTACTATACTTCGCTGGCCAGACGGGTTGGTATAGGGTTTGTTTCAAGTTTTCCTTCTCTTTGCAGTGCTGTTGTCAGTTAAATTGAATCAATTATTTTCAAAAAAATCTAAAAAAATTTTTACCATAGACATTCAAAACTTTAACTTTACTTTTAAAGATAAAAATATATGCATTAATCATCTTCAAAAAAAATCTATTAAAAATTTAACCATAGACAATCAAAACTTTAACTTTAGTTTTAAAGAGTTCTGCAAATACACGAATTCAAACAATTTAACATTTCAGATACTAGCTGGTATAATACTATTAGGCGCATCGCTAAGTGTACACAGACGTCTAAGAACAACGGTTGATCGAAGGGAAGAATACAACGTGTTTAATTCATTCAATATAATAATTTTAAGTATAGTAATTCTGATGGTTGTTGCTGACATTATATTGGGGGTCATATTTATCGTCTCATGTCATAAGGTAAGCTTTCAGTAAGCTCTTATATATAAATACCAAGGTCTTATATCACAATCCCTCAACTTAAATCGAACTGAAATTTGTCGCCGTAGTCTAAAGCTTAATTTTAAGGTTCTGACCCTTCAAAGTTGGCATAACATTAGTGGTACAAAAAAGGCAAACATAATATGTCACTATAAATTTGTTCTTCCGTGTGGTCACCACACAACAAATTTATAGTGACAAACAAATTTAAGGATGGAAGGATTAAGAATACGAAATGTCAGCACCCCTATTCATCCCGTGGGTGTCGTAAGAGCCGACTAAGGGAGCAAACTACGCAGGACAACAACTGCAGAGAGAAGGAAAACTTGACACAAAACCGTTATACGTTTTTCGCGGTGCGCGCGCGTATTATACCAACCCTTCTGGCCAGCGTGGTATGGTAGGCCAAAACCTCCTTTCTAAGGAGAGGACTATGTCCAGCAGTGGACTGTATTAGGCTGTTGATGATGATGATAAATTTGTTGGTGACTAACTTACAGTTTTTTCTTTTTAAACATTACGGCTAAACAAAAAAGGAAAAAAGCTACATGAGTCATCACTAACTATTAAATTGTTACAATGGTGCCCCTATATAGTTAAATATATGTAGTATACAATCTTTTATCTATATATACAAATGGATCACAAATTTACAAATTTTACAATGATATTACAACATTCGGCAATTCTAATTTTAAAAGTAATAATTGAAAAAAAACACCAGTTCTTACTGCATCCGACAGATATTCATACGGCAGCCATATTGAATTTTCTTTAAAATGTTCTCCGGGACGTAGGGATTTTAACAGTACCATACATTGAAATATTATAATCATCTACATATTTTCCTCATGTTGGTTATTTATTTTTAGGGCCCTTAAAAAGGTGCCGACGAAGTCTTTTTTTTAAATTATAGGGCTCAACGAGCAGACCGGTAACCCGTTGGGTCACCGTCCATTTATACCTGCAACTTAAGAAATAGCTCGCAATCCTTTGCGTTCTTTTACATTCCACCGGGAGGAATCGGATCCATCCATCCTTTCCATTCCACCGGAATCGGGAGGGGTAAAAAACACCGAAAATATTACTTCTGTGAGGCCGTGTTCAGTCTCACTCCGTTCGGAGCATGCCTACGAGTATAGTGCCGAAAACATATTACCCCCAGGGGTTTATCTCTGTTGTCGCGACATAACTTTCTATATCCTCCTTTTTTATACCTTCGATGTCCGTGTATCTGTATTTTGTATCTCATATATTCCTGTTTCTGTTTCAGAAAAATGTCAAGTTGATATCAAAGTATTATCATTATACGATAGTTTTGTTGGCTATATTTATACCATTGAGTTTATATTGCGGGTGCGCAGCTTTATATCACATGTATACAACAAAGCCACCATTGTCTTTTATCCTCGCGTTCGTACTGTTGGACTTATTCTCACTATTTGTTTATATTGGTAAGTATTCAATCACTGTTCTATGTTCTAGTTCAGGGCTTCCCAAGGTGGTCGAAATCGGTTTCCCAGGGCTCGATATAACCCCGCGTAATAAAAAAAAACGGTTTAGTTGTTTAGACTAGAAAGCAGAACAAACAAACTCACTTTCACATTGATAATAGTAGTAGTAGTAGTATGGAAGTTCTGATTTTTATTATTAAATTTCTGTCCTAGTTGATTTGGTTTATTGCACCTATTTTTTTTTTCACGTGTTTATTCTTTTTGCAGTTATACAAATTTATGCGGTCCTATTAATAAGAAGTGAAATAATTAAATTAAAGAACAACGGCCAATTTAGATTTGAAAACAAGGCTGCCGAAGCTGAATGCTATCTGCGTATTGACAACTCAATTGGACAAAACAAGAGAGAAGATGAAACAGAAAAAAAACGACATTGGCGTCATAACAGCAGAAGTTTAAAATAAGAATCATACCATAGAAATACGATAGCTATTGAGGTAGTGCGCTGGTGGAATTGGACTTTAATGTACAATGCAGAATTGATTGTTTAAGAATATTTGGAAATGAACAGAGAACAATAAATATTTTTACAGTTTTATTTATCTTTTTATTATACGCTTTTGACGATCGCTGCTATCACGGTTATCACGGTAAAAAGTGCCTAACCTATGTATTTCCTCAAGAATCAAACTATCATCTAAATCGGTTCAACGGTTTAAGTTCAGGTAACAGTAAGACAGCCACACTTTCGCATTTATAATATTAGTACGGGTGTTTTCATATACGCATTAAAGAAAACAAAAAGATGAGTTACAAATATGTAGAAGTAACATTCGGCGGTATTAGGCAACAACCTTTTTATTATATTTTTAGTTCACCAGGGACTGCCTTTCTAGGGAATACCTGGTTCCCCGGCTATTAGTACCCGAGACGGCGTGCGGTTTTAGTCGGTTCGAGTCCGACATGCCACCGATAGGTGGTATCCGAGGAGATCTCCGCACGGAAAAAAAAAAACAAAAAAAGGATAGTTTGTGGTGTACAAATCTAAGTCAACATAGTATTGTGTAAAAAAAACAGTAAAAGCTATCAATGTATTACATTCATACACAAATCTAATCTAATACCTTTAAACGAGCAATTCTTGTAACTTTACAAAATAAATAAAGACTGAAAATAATTGTGTTCCTCTTTATAATAATATTTATTTGCTAATCAAAAGTATACAGTGGTGTTAACATTACATTTGATATCGTTCCCCTTAATCTACCTTAACTGGCATGCAAATTGTATAATAATAAGTTTTTAAAATAGGTACATGCATCAACGTAAAATTGGTATACGAGTACATTCATTTCAAAAATATTTTAGGTCAAATTAAAATAGATACTCGTAGTTCCAATGCTTTCTAATAATAAAAAGTAAAAGTACAATTTTATAACACAAACAACACAATCAGACAATCAAGTATTTCAGAATATACGAGTAAGTAAAATAGTTAAATTCATTTTATCAGGGCATGTCAACACAGATATAACTAACTACCTTTCCCTTTAATATATTCTTCTTCTTTCGTCTGATCGTGGCAACAATCTTTCCCTCTGTCATGAAAACGGGACTAAAATTACTGTTGTAAAAAAAAATACGAGCCTTTAATACGCTTCTGCCTACTTCTTTGGACATATTATAAGCGTGTGTATAAAAAATTGTCAGACATTGTAAAAAAATGTCCATTGAGAATTTTGAAATTCCGTTTTTGGAAATTCTATCAGGTAGTAACTACAGTTTTTCCTGTGGTTACGGATTAAGAATACGAAGTGTCACCCCCCAGTTCATTCCATAACTTTCATAAGAGATTTTTAAGGGAGCACACTACGTACTCGTAAAACAACAGCGCTGTAAAGAGAAAAAAAAATTGACACAAACACTAAACTAACCTATCTTGCGGGCGTGGTAGGTTTAGTGTTTGTATCTGGCCACCGCTCTAAGAAGAGGCTGATATCCAGTAGTGGACTATTAAAGACTGTTGATGCGAACCGAAAAAAAACCACCTATATACTGTCGATTAAAAATGTTGTTTATTAACAAAACAAAGAAGTTGTATACCTACCTAGTAAAATCTAGTAAATGCGTTTACTTTACTAAGCTGTGTGTACATATTATGCTCACGTTCACTACGTAATGAGACACGAAACCAAAAATGGTTCCCGCAAAAACGTTAGTCACTTCTTATCGTCCACTCGTATGTGATAAATGATAAAGCCGAGCTAGTGTTATCGACAGTAATCTCAATGTTTGTAACATTTTTACAAGTTAAATCTAAGCTGGCACATAAAACTATACTCTTTAAATTGTGCCAAATAATATCTGAATATATTAAATGATAAAACAACCTCCTATGTAGTTTCGTGAGTGAAAATTAAAGTGCGAAACGATGGCTCTTGAGCTTCCAAGATTAAATAAGGCCTGTTGTTGCGTACCATTAAGAATTGGATCAATGATTATAGGATATGTATCAATTGTAAGTAATTTTAAATAAACTAAGCTTTAGTAAATATTGTTACCCTTATAAAAAGTTAAATAAATTCGTAAAAAGATAACAGAGGTAGGGTTAACAAACCTAAATGGAAGGAGTAGAAGGGATAGAATGGGCAATGCGCGCATGATCAGAGCAGATCAGAGCATATTAGAGCAATTTTTAAGATTGCTGTTCCAGAAGTTGATAGATACCGGTAGCAGTCCTCAGACTGACTGTTTGTTTGTTTACCAAATAGTTTTAAAAATTTGGAAAATTTAAAAATCGTTAATTTTTTTATTGATGAGAACTTCTTAATTACAATCATAGACAACATAGTTCTTTTCTTGTGTGTTACAGTCAGAGAGTTGAATATTTTTATATGCATACGTAAGACAGTATTTTAATTGATCTAAGACGTGTGGTGACGCATGTCCGTGTGGTGACGGATTAAGAATACGGAGTGTCACCACCCATGTTCATCCCGTGGGTGTCGTAAAAGACGACTAAGGGAGCAAACTGCGCAGGACAACAGCACTGCAAAGAGAAGGAAAACTTGAAACAAACCCTATACCAACCCGTCTGGCCAGCGTGGTGTAGTAGGCCAAAACCTCCTTTCTAAAGAGAGGTTTATGTCCAGCAGTGGACTGTTAAAGGCTGTTATTGAAGACTTTTCTACACTTCTTTAACTGTATGTTACTTTTTTTTATTTCAGATAGTATCATGCATCGTCATAGCTATGATATCCTTGGCAATTTACAGAGTCACAGTATTTTTAGATAAGAACATGAATAAACCATTCCCGCAACATCCTCCCGAAGACATGGCGAGGGCAGCTTTGGGTCTTTATATTTCGTTCACCTACTACATAATTGTGTACCTTTATAATTTAGTCTTCAGTGTTATTTTGCTCATTGGTGTCCACAAGGTGAGTAATACATAACTACCGCATTTGTTTTTTTTTTTTTTTTTTTTAAAGACAACTCCAGCATTAGGAATATATCCTGTGTCGCGGGGGACTTTACAAACATACATGAAATGGACACAAATAACACCCAGACTCAGAACAACAATTAATGGATCACACAAAGTGTGGTCTCATGTGGGGTTTTAACCCACAACACTCGACGTAGTAGGAAGCGGTGTGGCGACCGCTTAAACCACTACGCCATCCGTGCAGTCGACTAATAGGTAGGTAGCTAGCTTTTACTGAAAACCTTATGAGACTGACTATCTTAGGCTCTTTCTGACTCACAAGTATGAGTTTAAAAATTTATATTCAATTAAATATTTGCAACTGACAGAAAGCACTCTCGCTCCGCACGATAGCCGCAATCAGGCTATCGAGCGAGAGAACTCCCACTCCGATGGCCGCCACGAGGTCTCGCCTCTGCTCAATCCACGCCGGGCACTCTGCCAGCGTGTGGAGAGCCGTGTCCACGGTCTGGCCATCGCAGTGGTGGCACTCAGGCGTTGGCTCCTTGCGGATCAGACACAGGTGATCCCCGAAACATCCCTTCCCAGTGATAACCTGCGTCAATCGGTATGAGAGGGTCCCGTGACGCCTCTCGAGCCAATCCTCCATAACGGGTCTTACCGCCGCGATGACGGCGTGCCCGGCGCTCGGTTGCCCGAGTCGTTCCCTCCACTCCCCTATGATGACCTGGCGGAGTTGGGATTTCCGGTCATCGATTTCTCGAATCTCGGGGCATCGACCCAACTCCCGCGCCTCCTTGCGCCACTGATACAGAGCCGCAAGGGCTCTCGCCTCCAGGTCCCACGGTGGGGTTCCGGCCAGGAGACTCGCCGCCTCAAAGGAGAACGTGCGGTACCCCCTTATGATCCTCATGGCCAGCACTCGCTGCGGTCGTCACAGTATCGCGACGTTGCTGGCCTTCAGTGCCATACTGGGCACCCGTAAAGGGCCATGGACCGCACAACCCCTGAGTAGAGTCTCCTGCAGGAGTCATTGGGTCCCTTCATGTTGGGCAGCAGCCGCGGCCCCTGCGGAACACCGCACGACATTTCACGCCTACCGAGACCGGTCCTACTGGGGTAGACGACGGCTCTCTCCGACAAATATGCGATGTCCAAGGACACCGCCAACACCACTTCGCCCCGGGAGACTGCTTCCTCCGCCAGAGCCTTCACGAGCATGATCGCATCCACGGTGGAGCGCCCCTGACGGAAACCGTACTGGCTGTCTGCCAGATCCGGCCCAACCATTACGAGATGCTTGACGAGGCGCCTTGCAATCACTCTTTCAAAGAGCTTGCACACCTCGTCAAGCAACACTATGGGCCGGTAGGCGGACGGTGAGTCCGCCGGGCGCCCCTTCTTTCGGATGAGGACCAGTTTCCCCGTCTTCCACAATTTCGGAAACTGGCCCCGCTCGAGGCATGCGCTGAAGAACCCTCGCAGTCGGGGCTCGAGAGCCTCGTCGACTAAGGCCAGGACCCACGCTCGGCCAGGAATGACATCGGGTCCCGGGGCGGTGTTTTTAGCTTTAAGCCGTAACACCGCCACCCTTAGTTCCACCCCAGTGACCTCAGGCACGTCGTCGTCATCCACGTTAGGCGCCTCAAGCGCCGGAGGCGGAGCCATCTGTGGCCGAGTATGCTCCACCACTCGCGTCGGGAACAGGGAGCCAACGACCCTCTCAAGCAGCTCTGGCTGAAGACACCGTGTGAGCGGCGGGGCCCATGGGCGCATCTTGCCCCTAACCATACGGTAGGGGCGTCCCCACGGATCCCGCTCCAGTGTCTCCAGCATCTCGCGGCGGGCCTCGCTCTTGGCCCGCTTTATCGCTGCCTGAAGGGTCCTCTTGGCAACCCTGTAACCCGCTAACAGCTCCGCCTCTCTCGCTGCCGCATCTTCGGGGCGGCGACGCCTCCTGCGGAACCTGGACACTGTGCCTCAGCATCGACGTCGACAGGCCTGTCCGGCGCAGGAGCCCAGGCCTGTACGATGGCGGCTTCCAGGAGGAGGTCGCGATCTAAGCGCTTGAGCGCCCAACGTGGTTCAGGTGGTGCCGGTCTGACCGGCGCGCCATCTGTAGGGGCGGAGACGTCAAACCGAATATTACGGTGATCCGAACCTGTCTCCTCCCCGACAACGACGCGCTAGCGAGGGGCATGCGAACGAGATGTCCACGATCGAACTACCCCTCGCCGTCACGAACGTGGCCACGGCCCCCCGGTTTAGGAGAACTAGGCCGAATCTTTCAGCCCAGTTCTCCAATGCCCTGCCCCTCGGGTTCGTGCGCAGGGAACCCCAAGCCTGCGACCAGGCGTTGAAGTCCCCCAGCACAAGAACCGGGTGGGGGCGACAGGCATCGACGACGACGGCCAGCTGAGCGAGCCATTGCTCGTACTCAGTTAGGTTTCGGTTCGGCGTGAAATAAGCAGCCACGACCGCTATATCTCCAACTATCGCCGCTACACAGCCCCGTCCCCTTGCAACTACTGCAAAAGGTGGAGTGCCGGCTGCGGTACCGTGCACCAGGGCCGCCGTGCCGTCCAAGTCGGTCTCCCAGGCAGGCCCGAGAAACCGATGGACATATGGCTCGGCGATAGCGGCGATGTTGATGGACCACTGTGCCATGCTCTGGAGCAGAAGATCCTGAGCATCGGCACCGTGGCCTACGATCACCTGGAGGATGCGGAGATGTGGATCCATCACTGGACTTCCATCCCCGCATCCCGCAGCGAACTTTCATCAGCGGCCCGGAGGCGGAAGGTCGGCCTCCCGGCTTCGGTCGTGATAGGGGCACAGGCCTTACCACCAACCCGGTGGTCGGCAGGCTTGCCCCCCGCTGCGCACCTAAAGTAACGCAGCGGAGCGTTGCAGCCACCCGCCTTGTGACCGGGCTGGCCACAGCGGAAGCATCGGTCACCTACGGTGGCCTCCGCCGTGCAGTGCACCCCTACGTGCCCCACCGACAGGCATCTCAAGCACCTTGCCGGTCGGGCCTGCAGGAGTCGTGCCTGCGCCCTCAGGAAACCGCCGACCAGGAGGCTCCGTCCATCGGCGACCTTCTGGGCCGCCGCGATGGGGCAGCTGACAGCCGCTGCCCCCTGTCCACCGGGGCCGAAGCGTATTGCTCCGGCCTTCACGCTGTCCAGAGGGCAGCTTCCCGTCTCCGCCACGGCGAGTCTGAGCTCGTCCGCCGTGACAGAGTCGTCCAGGCCCGTGATGCGAACTTCGGCGCATTTAGTGGGCCTAGACACTCGGACGTCAGCTGCATCCAGTGACTCCCTCAGCTTAGCCGCTAGGGCGTCGGCTTTGGGGCCACTGGTAGCGCCGGTGACCTCGAGGAGCCGGGCTCCCGTCCTTGTGTTTTTACACCGGACGCCCGGAATCTCCAGGGCTTTGAGGTCCACGTTGGCCTTGACTTTCGTCAAGACCTCGGCGTACCCCACGCCCCTCTCCGCTGCCTCCGCCGTCAAAGTGATAACGACGGCCGAGGAGCTAGGGGCGCGGAGCTTCCTCGGCGCTCCCTTCGCAGCGGCGGCGGCGTCCCTCCTCGCCTTCTTGGCCGCTTTTTTGGCGGCCTTCCGCCTCTTCTTACTCTCCCCGGCTACCGTCCAGCCCCGTTCCAACGGGCGCTGTGCGGTGTCAGCCGGTTCCGAGACTGGGGCTTGGAGTTGGGCCACCTTCCCCCTTCCTTTGCCCTTTCCGGCCTTCTGGGGCGGGGGCGCTGATGACGGCCCAGCCACCCTAGTTGCTGGCTGGGCTGTTAGGCCCACCTTGGCAGCGGCCGCATATGTCGCCTTTGGCGGAGCCAGAGGTGGGCGACAACGGGCGCTCTCTATTGCATAGATGCGCCTCATTATACGCTCCTCCATCTCCGCCACGAGTCGGACTAAGTCCGGCTCCGGCGCGGACAGCGCCAACGGTGCCGAAGGCGCTGGCGTGGCACCAGCGTGGGCACGAGCCTTGGCGAGATCCGCCTTGAGGCGGGCTCTCTCCCTAGCGTGGGCCTTGCTCTCGGCCACAAGGAGTCTGCCCGCCTTGATTATGGAGCGCACGACCGCTACCAGGGCCTCCTGTTGTCGGCCACCCCGGACGTCTGAAGCAAGCAATCGGCCGCGCCGATTGCCTCCTCGATCCGGTCGACGGGGTTGCCGGTTTTGCCTCGCAGCTTATCGAGGCCAGCACCCCCACCCCCGCTCCCCACATCAGTGGTCGACATCTCGGAGGCGACCCCCTCCTGTCTTCTCCGTCCCAGACCCTCATCTTCGGCTCCTCCCAGCGCCGCGGACTGGACCGCCACCTTCCTTTGGGCCACCCTGATTTTGGGGAGTCGGCCTCCGCCGCGAGCGCCTCTGCGGCTTGTGCCGACTTTGGGAGCCGTGGCTTCGTCGCTCGAGGCCGACTCCAATTGCCTCTTCAGGCCCAGACGAAGCGAGCGCCTTTTGCGCTTTGGAGTACCCTTCTGGTGCTGCTCCGCAGCTGAGACCATCGGGGTACTCGCTCCGCTCGTCTCCGAGGTAGTGTCGGTGTTCGACACTACCTCCAGGTTTTTCGCGTCCTCCGCGATAACGTCGCCGGATTTACTGCTCGGCGACGGGCAGGTTCGACATTCGGTGCTCCTCCCAGAATACGACTGCCTCCAGCGACTGCCTTCGGCACTGGACTCCCTCCAGCGACTCAGCCCCTTGCCAGGCGTCAGAACGTGGGCTTAGAGCATTTTTTATAGAGGTTTACGTCCTCGCGGATCCGAAGATCCACCGGTCCTGTCCATTCAGGATTACGGCTGGGCCGGACGGGGTCTGCACCAGACCGGGTCCGTCCGCCCCAGGGTTTTTTATAGAGGTTGCCTTCCTCGTAGCCCTCGAAGAGCCGTCATTCCTGACCGTTGCCAGTCAGGGTTACGACATGCCCGGACGGTGGTCTGCGTCAGACCAGTGTCCCCCACCTCTGGACAGAGCCAGCTGCAGTGGACCCGTCCGCCCCCAGCCCGCTCTCCCCTATGCCCTCTGCCAAACAGAGGGACACGCGGAAAGTTGGCCGCAGGCGGCAGCGCGTCCCCCACCTAGGGAGAGAGGCGCTGCCGTCTCCGTTGCCCAGGGTGCACCACAAGGAGGTTCCGGACCACGCACCCCCAACAACCCCCTGACCGTTAAACAGTGTTGTATCCAGTATCGTCTGTTGTTATTTCTATAGGTGTTTTTAAAATTATAGAGTTAATATTAAACCTTATTTCCCTTTTTCAGAACGAACCACTTTATCTAAGGCTGTATTATAAGGCAACGTTGTTCTCATTCGCTCTTGGCGCTGCTCTCGTTGTAATCACATGCATGTTCATGGGAATCCTAGCTACCATCCCCGTGTTAAAGTGGGTCTGTAAGTATATGGCCAATTTTAAATATATATTTAAAGTTCATACCGAAGTGATCCAACTCAGAATCAAGGTAAGGAGCATAATTCAAAGAATTTGAAAACTAAACTGACAGAAATGGCCCGCAGAACCGATAGCTGCTCGGGCGCAAGAATTCTGCGTCTGTGTATAGGGATATGTATGTAGAATATACAGCAAGAACGTTTAGTGACGATCTGCGCTCAATAGCCAAAAAAACTGGACGAGAAGAGGCAGATGGTCTTGGTCTAGTAGTAGAAATTGATCTAGTACCATTTCCATCTATCGAGCTTTTATTATCAACTGTTTAATCTAGAAAAAGCAGGGAATTCATTTTCAATTCGTCAGATTTTTTTTTATTCCATTTTATCCGAATATCCAGACGGTTTCACAAATTTAGCAAATTCATTTTTTATTTATAAGGGTTATATTTTCTAATTAGCCCCATTTAATCAGGTCAGGATCTGATGATGGGATCCTGAAGAAATCTTTTAGCAATTTGGATAAATTTAAAATTAATTTGCTCTTGGAAGACACAATTCAGTAAAGGGAAACTGATGAGGAGGGCAGACTGCAAATTGTGTTCACCTTAACTGCTCAATAATTGAGCACTAACTACTTGAATAAAGTTCCCAAATTAATTTATTCTCATCACAAGCTATTTAGTGAAGTAACAAGGGTATTCTTTAACAATTAATGTACCTGCATTTCGAAAAGCACTAAAACAAGGGTAATAGGTATCCAATATCAAATTAAGTAATGCTTTATTATTGTAATTTACATACATTTCACATTTTTTTTTAATTTAAGGGATAGTTCGTATTTTAATGTTTTTTTTTTCTATTTTTATTTCAGTTGCTCTTTTTTACTTTTTGGTGGTCGTCAGAAGTACTTTCTTAGAAATGGAGGCGACAGAAAAACAACCAATACATTATGAACTTCAACCACATGTAATGATACACTCACCATTAATTGCTTAACTTATTTATTAAACAAATGTCTTATACATAAAATTTGTAAAATAATAAAAGTATATCTTAAAACAAATAAAAATATATTTAATAATAAGACAGTGTATTTTAATTATTATTGACTTGAGGGGGAGGTTCACCGAATTCAGCTGCATTTTTTAAGTATGAACCTTAGAACCTTCTATTTGTGGGAACTTCGTTCTAGACTAGACTAGGAGCTAGACCGAAAAATGTGTAACAAGACTTTTTTCCGACACTTCTTCCGCTTAGATCTTTCTTACGCTTGGATCTTTTAATCTAACAAAGGATTTTAATGCAGTTTTCACCAATAGAAGGAGTGATTACAGAGGAAGGTTACATGCATATCATAGTGTAGAAAAACCGAAAGTTTCAAAGATTTGTCGTAAGAAACATGTTTTTGTGCGCTTACGTTGGAAACGCTAGCTAAACCTTATGAAATAGACCAAAATAATTTACTACGGCATTGTATAACTTAAAAAGGTCTACAAAAAAATTCGCGATGATATATGTCTATCTACTAAGGATAAACCACAGTAATCATTAATATCGTTTAAATATTAAAAAATATAGGGTCATCTACGAAACTACTTTAAACAATATATTATTATTTATCCAATTAAATGCATTAAATACGTTGTGCATTTAATGTTGATTAAAATAGCCATTTACAGCATATCGTTAAAATGAATATTTTAGAAGATATTAGAGATTTAAAATGCGGGGGCAACCCGGCCGTCGCTCGTCGCGTCGTGTACGTCCGTCCCGAGTGGCAATGGCACGGGCTTATATAATTATATTGCATATTAAGATGTACTGTAGTATAGTCCTATCAACGTCTGCTAAAAAGCGAAAATTCAATCTCAAACTAACTTTGTCATTAAAAAAAAATGACAAAAAAAAATGGTGGCCAGGTTTTTTCACGGAGTGTACATCTTACACAATACCAATGCTTGGCAATTGTAAGTCTTTTAACTCAGAATGGTACACTATAGTCGTATTGCCAAAAGTTATCGAAGTAGTGCAGGAGAGACGACCAAAGACCGGGCTTCGGGAAAGGATGCTGCAACACGAAATTGCGTCTCCACACTCTTCCCTCAGAACAAAGGCATTAATTCAAAGATGGAATAGAAGAGAAAGTGACTAAAGAAATAAAAAACACTAGCCCACACTACATTTCCACTTAAGAAATAGCCTGTGCTAAATAAATCCCAAGCACTCTTCTAGTAGGCCAAAACCTCCTTTCTAAGGAGAGGCCTATGTCCAGCAGTGGACTAGTATAGGCTGTTGATGTGATGATGTGACTCTTGTCTTCCATGTAATCCACAATTAAGTAGTAGGCTTTCTAACATATTTTACGTTTTATTGGATTTAAATTTGTTTGGACTTGTCTTGTATATTTTTTGTGATTATATTATAAAATCGGACATATTGACTTCGAAATGACTTGTTTATCATTTGGAGCCTAGGGACAGATACAACAAAATTGACCTATACCTATTTCTGGTATTACCCGTCTGGCCAGCGTTGTATAGTAGGCCAAAACCTCCTTTCTAAGGAGAGGCTTATGTCCAGCAGTGGACTATTAAAGGCTGTTGATGATGATGATGATATTTCTGGTATTTATGGAATGTACGTCACTTACGTGTTTTACTTATTTTCGAAAAGCTATCTTTGTTTTTAGTAACACATAACTATTACATTTTCTATATTGACCGTCACCGTCAAAATGTTTAAATTTCTGCCTCAATGAACAACGATTGCGTATTTAGACAATCGTTGTTCATTGAGGCAGAAATTAAAATGTTATAATTTGCTCAAATTGCTTTCTTCTGTAGCACAAAAATAGTTTAAATTTCGGCAGCATTCCTCCACAGTAGAATACCGTACAACATTATGGCATAAAAATAACTTGCAAGTCAAACAAGTCGTACTGTATCAATATCAGTCAGCTCTCGAATTTTTCTTACTGCGTATGATGCTGAGCTAAATCTACTCGATAGTTTATCTTCGAAAGGAACTTCGTTCCCATCGGGGCTCCACAGTCCCCTCACGCCGCTTTTTTTATTCATTCTTTTTATTCCTAAGATCAACAGTCCTTTTGGTCCAACATTGGATCCCTAAAGGAGAGATGAACTTAATTACAATTCATCATAATTATTGAAGTCGGCCATTTTTTGTAGAAGCTAATGCTGTATCATTTTTGCTCAAGGCCAAGAAGCGTGAGAAAATAAGTTTACTGCTTTCTCTGTGAAAGCAAGGAGGTAGCAGATTTTCAATGGCAAAATTTGGCTACCTATATAATTTTGAAAATAAATTTTAGCAATAGAATTGCCAAATCACGTCGAAATAGATAGACGTGGTTACGTGACATTTGATGGAGTTCACACACTGAGATATAAATGAAGACGTTACTATTTTGAGCTCGTTCAAAAGCTTGCTCACTAGAAAAATAAAAAAAATATAAAGATTCTCTAAAAAAGTTTTGATTGAGTGAATCTTATTTTTGAAGTGAAAACTCCTTTAGATAGCTAGATTAGCGACGCGATGTGCCATTATTCTTAGTTGTCCCTTCTGTCGGCAGTCCTTCTGACTGCCTCTTTATTTTATTTAATCATTATATAGAGAAAAATTGAAGATAGCAATAGCACCTCAAAAATGGGTTATGTCCCAAAATCATTGTACTGTTTTAGTTAATTTATTTTATTGCTAAAGTAATACGCCTAAATGGCCATGAATCTATTAAGAAAGAAATTACTACGTAAGAAATTAAAGAGGCGAATCACAATTTTACACTGTTGCAACACCCTAAGCGATGTCAAAAATTAACCTACAAAAAGTAAACGTCTGACGTAAATCGAAAATCTGTCTGTGCGTATTTTTGTCCAACAACGGTTTCAAAAGGGCAAAAATAACGTGATCTCCTTTCCACTCATTTCTTAACATATCCATTTAAATTATCCTCATAGTCCTTCCTTAAAACGTTGCGATGTGATCGTGTTTTATCATCAGATCTTCTCTGTATTTATTTATACATTACATGGCAATGAAATTATATTAATTAAATTTGACTAGCAAATACACAAACAATGTCCAATAAATATTCTCAAAGTAGTACACTCATCGCTGCTCAAAACCAGGTTGGTAAACGAGGAAGGCGCCAAATAAGTTTGGACGCTAAAATCTTCGAATGTATGTGATTGTTATTGTTATAAAATACACACTTGTACACATATAAATCGTGTTTTTATTTCTAAATTTAAGCTGGTACAATGGATAAACGAAGCAGGTATGGCGGACAGTGGCAGAAAGTCGGATCTTTTAAGAAAGATCGTCGAAGTGTTGCTTCACCAATGTTCACAGATGATACCTGTGTATTTAGAGAATATTCTGAGTCTGGTGAACGACAAATCCACAGATGTGAAGAAGCAGGTTATCGCCTTTATCGAAGAGTTAAGGTGAGACAGAAAACAAATTTTCAATAGGAAGGTAATGCAATGTCAGAGCTGTCTTTGCTTTGATATCTTTACATAGTATAAAGTAAAGTCGCTTTTATGTGTTGTACACTTGTAACAAAATTTGTAACAAGACTTTTTTGCTTAGATCTTTCTTACGCCTAGATCTTTAAAATTAAGCAAAGGATTTTAATGCAGTTTTGACCAATAGAGAGAGTAATTCAAGAGGAGGGTTTATATGTATTATAGATGTATATTATAGTAGATGGAATCCTAGAATTTCAAAGATTTGTTGTAAAAAACATGTTTTTGTGCTATTACATTGCAAATGCTGGCTAAACCTTACGAGATATACCAGAATAATGTAATTTAGAATTGTATATCTTAAAAAGATCTACAAAAAAGTCCACAATGGTATATGTCTATCTCCTAAGGATAACCCACAGTAACCATTATTATCTTTTAAATATTGCCAAAAAATAATGGGTTATTTACGGAGGTATTCGCTCGTATATCGCTAGTATACTATATAATTTTCTAATCTTTTGGCATATATTCCTATCATAGGAGAGTGATGCTTCCATAAATATGGTCTGGCTTGATCAGAGAGATGCTATGGCTATGTGTGAGACCCAAGAACAAAGGGTGGCAACACACACATATCTCTTGACTTAGTAACTTACCATCAGGAGATCTGTTTGCTCATTTGCTCTGTATTACATTAAAAATACAATTAAAGTTTAAGTATAAAATTAAAGTAGCACATAATGGAAGACATTTTCCAACATCTAATTAAATTTTTTATGCATGTTTCAATATCTTTGTTAATTAAAAATATATAAAAATAACTTCAGACATTTCACACTCGGCTATCTAATCCCAAAATAGGTGGAGCCTGTACTCTAGTAACCAGACTTCATCAACAGCCTTTACTAGTCCACTGCTGGACATGAGCCTCTCCTTAGAACCAGACTTATTATACTTAAATTATACTCAGACACAGAACAAGTGATCATGCTTATTACACAATATAATTTGTCCTAAGTGGAATTCAAAAATGAAATTAGTGTTAAAGTTGTATGAACTTTAAAAAACCATCTGATGTGGCTTGGAGTACTCATAAAGTTATTGCAGTTTGGAATACTAGTCTTTGTACTTTGGCCAAGAGATGCAGATTAGGATATCTCTGTTGTATTAAAAACTTAGTACTCCTGTCCTTCTCTAGCAAATACTTGAGTCTCTTGCAATAGACCTTGGCCTGGTTCAATAACAATACATTAAACCACTAAGCCTGGTGAGGATAATGAGCCACGGGGTTTGCCTCATGGTGAGAAAAAAAACTTAAACTCACATAGTATTTTTCCCTATTTTGCCTAAAAAAATTAAAAAAGAGTAAAAGCCGACATAAAGACTTACAATTACAGTAAAGTATCAAAATAAATAATAGGAGTAAGCATATTCTTATTTTCAATGTTAGTAAAGGTTGATTTTTAACACCTTTCCTTAGCTACACTTGTAACTATGTAAAATACATCTTCAAAGAAATTGAAATTTTAATGATTTTTATAATAAATTCAACTACCACAAGCTTTTAGCATAGCACAATTTTGTGTTTGAATTAGAATAACTGTTTCTAGTGTTATGCCAATATCACCACTATTCATCCTGTGAATGTTGTAAGAGCCGACTAAGTTAGCAAACTACACAGGACAACAGCATTGCAAAAAGAAGGAAAACTTGACACCAACCTTATACTAACCTGCATGGCCAGCATGGTATAGTCCTTACGCCAAAACCTCCTTTCTAAGGACAGGTATATGTCCAGCAGTGGACTATTGAAGGCTGTTGTTGATGATGATCATGATTTTTGTTAACTTATTAACATTAAATTAAGCATTTTAGCAACCTTTTAATGATTTTTCTTACTTAAGCATCTAATTGTTTGCTTACATTCCCCAATTCCAACATAAGCAATAATTTTTCTATTGCAATCATCTTCTTTTCAAAATACGCCCAATTTTCTTTGATGGCCCAGGGATCCACTTGTCTGGCATATTATGTTTTTCATCTTCTCGGACGTATGCTTCATTACTAAAGGTTGTGTCCATTCTAAAGTGTTTTGGTGACCTCAGTTTTCTCAAGATTATCCGGCTAGCTCCGGGCTATATGACCAAAGTAGCCTACTGCCTAACACTCAAGTTGTTTGCAATGGTATCTAATGGTTCTAAATTATGTCATGGTTTTTTCATTATAAAATACAGGTCAGCGAACTTCTAGTACTTGGATTGTAAAATAAAGAATTTATGATTTTATACGATCAAATAATTTTGTTCGAGATTCATCTTTCTAGCGATGTAATCTCGTGGCTCGACAGTTACGGGAGATGGATAAGTGTTTTGTAATCGATTAATGTAGAAACACACTCAATATTGTTATATTGTTGACAACCGTTGGGGAAAACGAGTTCTTCAGTGGAGACCGCGTCTCGGCAAACGTAGTGTAGGACGCCCACAGGCCAGGTGGAGTGACGATTTGCGCAAGATGGCTGGCAGGAGCTGGATGCGAGAAGCCCAAAATCGATCTAAGCGGCGTGCAATGGGGGAAGCCTATGTCCAGCAGTGGACTGCGATAGGCTGATGATGATAATTGTTATATTAGGAGATATGAGTAGCACCACATTGATGTTGATAAAAGTTATTATAACCGCCAGGCTAGTTGCTTGTTATCATAACATTATTTATTTAAAAAAACCGTTGTATTTTCAGCAAAAAGTTCCCAGAGCAACTACCCAAGATTGTAGCACAATTAAGACTTCTTGTGTTAGACACTGTGATTGCAGTTCAGAAGAGAGCTATTCAAGCTTCAAGTATTGTGTATAGAAACACATTGCTATGGATATGCAAGGGCGGCGCGAGCTTGACAGATGCGCAGTATGTTTGGGAGAACATTACACAATTAAAGGTAATCTTTATAAACATAACTTACTCTCACCATCTCCATAAAAAGATGTTTTTTGAGTTTAATCTTTACACAACAAAGGGCAATTGAGAATGCATGTCTCGCAGGGGCCAGGTCCTAGTGTAAAATCAAGTCTTTAAAATATATAGTCTAGCTGTAACCCCACTGGGTTTGTTGGGCGGTGTGTCAGAATTGAACTGACCAAAACGATTTCATGTGCCATGCTACGACTTAATAGGAGGGATCCGGGAACAGCTTTCAGATGGGATAAAGAAAGAAAAGAGGTTAGTGTATATGATAGCGATAAATTTCGGATGCGAATGAGGAGAGAAACTGCAGTAGCTCGAAAAGGCTGGAATTGCATGGGAATTACGTAAATTATAACAATAATTTCAAGTAAACTATGTAAGTATGTGATTGTGGAGATGATTCTAATTCATTTTAATAATTTTATTTGATTTATCTTACAGCTCCTGGTATTAAACATGATCGACAGTGACAACGAAGGTATCAGGACGCACTCCATCAAATTCTTAGAGGAGGTGGTGTTACTGCAAACGCCAAGTGAAGGTGGCGGTGATGAGTTTAGTCTTGACAGTTTGCCGTCTCACTTACCATTTATCAATAGACGGGCTTTGGATGAGGAATCTGAGTAAGTTGTTTGAATTTTTAGTATAAAGCGCATATGTACTTATTATAATCGTATAATCCAGCGTTTTCGCCTAATGGGACAGAAAGTAATTCTCCATTAAACGACTCCTCTCATCCCAATTTGTTACGGGTCAGTGAAATTTTACGACCTTGCAAGCATAATCGTTTTCAGCTGGGATTCGAAATATAATTATTTAATTCTACTAATTGTACTGCATTACTACTTTAATGTGATTCTTAAATTTAAACGTTAGTCCACCATGATAAGGTTTATTTTATATATTTGTTTGAAAATCATTTGTTAGTATAAAAATAATTTCACACATCTTACACACGGCAGTCCCAAACTGGGCAGAGCCTGTGCTATGATAACCAGACTGCTGATTATAAATTATATATTTCTAAATACATAAATATCAGAGATAAATTACAACCAGACACAGTTTTTTTTTATTGTTTGAAGTGTTGCATTTTCGCCTGTTTATGTCTTTAATATAATATGTATATAATATGTTATAAAAATAAAACAAATAAAAAGGCGATTCCTTGAATAATCTGATTTTAATCTTACTTGTATCTCCTTCTTTTTGTTATAGGCATATATTCCAACTACTGGTAAAATTCCACAACTCACAGCATATATCAAGCGTCAACTTAATGGCCTGTATGACAACTTTATGCCTTCTGGCCAAATTCAGACCGAAATTTATGCCTCGAGTCATACAAGCTTTAGCCGACCTGCACACGACGTTGCCTCCCACACTGTCACAATCACAAGTAAATTCAGTACGAAAGCATCTCAGAATGCTGCTTGTGAACCTTATTAGGCACCCATCTTCAAACGACATGCTGCCACAGTTAACTCAGTTGTTACTTGATATCGGAATGACAACACAGGAGATCAATAAGGCAATACCGAAAGAGAAAAGGAATAAACGCTTAGGAGAAATTAAGAACGGGGACACACCTGCGAAACGGTTGAGAGTGGACTCTCCACAGAGTAATAGCCAAGGCAGTGATAGCAACGGTCGAACTGAGCTCAATCAATGTGATGAAGACAGTCAACCTGCTGCAACTACACAAGTCATAACAAAACAAAATGTCACCGAAGATTCTTTATTTGATGGCTTGAACAATGTTGAAAATGTTGTAAATTTAGTTATGAGTACACTATTGAACAGTCTACCAACTGAAATGCCAGAAAACTTTGTAAACTCCTATAAGCCTATTCCGAATTCTGGAAGTAAAGTTCAGAAGAGAAGTCTGGCTAAAATGATTTTGTCATTAATTAAAGATGAACCACTAGCACCATTGCTACCTCCACCGGCTCTGGTTGCTCAACCTATATTAAGTGATTTAGCTGCAAAAATACCTTTACTAAGAGATGAAGAAGAAAAAGTTACTCTGAAAAATGCAGTGGCAAAGTTGCAAGAGTCCACAAAAGCAGATAGGCAGATGGAAAATGCTGTGTCCAAATTAATGGAAGAAACCAGAGCCGAGCATTTGAAAGAAGAAGAGCGAAAACAAAAGGATAAAGAGAAACTGGTTCCACCACAAACCCCAACTGTACCGAAGCTCAAGCAGAAAGTTAAGCTTTTGAAATTGCAGGAAATTACACGTCCTATACCTAAAGAAATAAAAGAGAAATTAGTACTTCAAGCAGTCTCTAGAATTCTAAGAGCAGAAACAGAAGCCGCTATTGGTGGAGCTGCGAATATACGTGCCAAGTTCATTACGATATTCGCGTCAAGTTATACTCCTGAACTAAGGGACTTGGTACTCAATTATATCCTAGAAGATCCTGTAAATAGAATTGATTTAGCATTGTCATGGTTGTACGAAGAATATGCCTTTATGCAAGGATTTAATCGACACCCAGTGACCCTTCAACCAAAAGTTCACGAGAAACATGATCAGAATTACAATCAGTTGCTGTGCTCGTTGATAACCCAGATTTGCGAAAGTGGGGATCCAGTTATGGAAGGTTCTAAAGACATGCTCTTGAGAAAAGTGTTTTCTGAGTGCCCTGTAGTGACTGACGATGCCTTGGACTATCTGAAGCACTTAGTCGCAGAGGATAAGATTGCCTTGTTGGCACTGGAGTTGTTAGAAGAGCTTTGTATTATGAGACCGCCTCATGCGCATAAGATTGTTTCGTCGCTGCTGTGTCATGTTTGTAAGTTTTTTTTTATGGATTTGAAGTTGATTTCATCCACCCTATTAAAGGATGATTTCCGGGAAAAAAACTACTATGTCCTTTCCCGGGACTCTGACTATCTCTATCATCAACAGCCTTTAATAATCCACTGCTGGACATAGGCCTCTCCTTAGAAAGGAGGTTTTGGCCTACAATACCTAGCTGGCCAGACGGGTTGGTATAGATAGGGTTTGTTTCAAGTTTTCTTTCTTTTTGCAGTGCTGTTGTTTTGCACACTTTGCTCCCTTAGTCGGCACTTACGACACCCACGGGTTGAATAGGGGTGGTGACACTCTGTATTCTTAATCCGTCACCACACGGTTACTATATCTATACCAAATTTATTTCAAATCGGTGCAACTCAAGGGTCAAAAATAAGCATTTGGGTGGGCTGTGTGTGGTGACGGATTAAGTATACGGAGGATAGAGGAGGAGGAGGAGGAGGGTATTATAAGAGCCGACTGAGGGAGCAAACTACGCAGGACTCGCTGTTGATGATGATGATGATGATAAGGTGGGCTGGTTGCTCCTCCGCTGACCTAAGAATAGCTCAACACTAGTATTCTGTGAAGCTGTAATATTACTCCGGTCGAATCTAGTATTTTTTAGTCTAAATTGTGTCGTTTGTTAGGCGGCTAGAAACTCTTCCGTATAACTTTATTATTACTAGTGACGGACATTATTGCTACTTTTAAATCAAAATCATATGATGATATGAATGGCTTTAGTCACTGCGATTTTACAGGCGATAAATCACACGAATTTTGTCATAGACAAACATTTTATTAAAGACTACCTTTTTTTAGATTTAGACCTTTCGCGAGTCTGGCATCGTCGTAGTTATAATCATAAGTCGCAGGTGTGCTAATATGATTTATAACAGGTGATTGTGATTTTAAACCATGCCTAATTATTATGCTTACAGTAAGTGACAATGAAGACATACGAGAAGTAGTGATCAAGTCGGCGGTCAAGATTTACACACGCTGTACGGTGTTCACTCGCAATGTTATAGAGAAGAATGCCTTGTTGTATCTTGGCTTTATATCGTTGGCGAATCCACCTCCAGAGTTGACTGACTCCCGGACTGGAAAAGGTGTATGGAACGAAGATTTGTATAAGATATGTTTAAATCTTGTAATGGCGCTGTTCTCAGTAAATGAAGGTGAGTAGATCTTGTAATAAATAAAAAAAATATGATAATATTATAACAATATATTATGTAAGATGTATTGAATGCCTGTCCGTGTGGTGACGGATTGGGAATACGGAGTGTCACATCCCCTATTCATCCCGTGTGTGTCGACTAAGTGAACAAACTATGCACGACAACAGCACTGCAAAGAGAAGGAAAACTTGACACAAATCCTTTTTTTTTTGGCACCACCAAGGTTGGCGGTGGGGTGGTGTGTCGGGATCGAAACGACTAAAACCACACGGTGTGCCACTCTGCGCCTGTAACAGGAGGGATCCGGGAATTGCTGTTATTAAGCCATCCGGACCCCTCCTTCTCCATGTAGGCGACGTCCGGACCACGCGGACGTCGCCTCCTCGCGACTGTCCGTTATGGCGGCGACCGGTGCCGTAGGAGCCTACTAAGGGAAAAAACTACGCAGGTCAACAGCACTGCAAAGAGAAGGAAAACTTGACACAAACCCTTTTTTTTACGTGTGGAAATCCCCTCGGACCGTCAATACAAAGGGGTTTGCGGCGGGGTGGTGTGTCGGACTCGAACCGACTAAAACCACACGGTGTGCCACTCTGCGCCTGTAGTAGGAGGGATCCGGGAACAGCTGTTATTAAGACATCCGGACCCCTCCTAGCGCCGGCCCGCTCCTGTTGCGGGCCCCGTCTCAAAATTTTCCTCTCTTTAGGCGACGTCCGGCACACGCGGACGCCGCCCCCTCCCGGATGGCCAAACTAATGCGGGTGGAGGGGAAACCCACCCCGTCCACCCGCGGCCACACTCAGGGCGGCATGAGGCGGTGATAAGCGCGCCTCCGCCGCCCGGTTCGCCGGCGGCGGATCGGGTCCGAGTGGAGGTCGTCCTCCCGGGCCTTCTCCGCCGCCTCCTTGTGCGAGATTACTTCCTCGCAGAAGGTTGCGACCGCGGTAAAACAACTGTCGCTACCGGCCATGGAGCGTACTACGGCCGGTAGCGAGAGATCCACTCCGATGACTGCAGTGAGGGCCCGGCGCTGCGTAGCCCATGCGGGGCAGACCGCCAGCGTGTGCTGGGCCGAGTCCTCACTGCAGTCGCAGTGGTGGCAGGCGGAACTCAGTTCCCTCCTAGCGACCGAGTGCAGGTACTTTTCGAAGCAACCGTGCCCGGAAAGCACCTGCGTCAGCCGGAAGGTAAGGGTTCCGTGCTGCCGCCCTGCCCACTCGGCGATGACCGGCTGGAGAGCCTCACAAGCGGAACGACCAACGAGCCATCGTGGCTCGGCGAGCGGCTTCGCGCCACTAGCGCACGTCTTCGGGCGGAGGGCGAAATCCGCTCTCCGCCCGGGAGTCAGCCACTCGCCGATAAACTTCGGCGAGCACTTCCGCCTCCAAATCCCACGGGGGAGTTCCGGCCAACGCGCACGCTACCTCCGTCGACACGGTGCGGTTCGGGCCCAGATATTTCATCTGGGCCCGAACCGGTACGAGGACCGAGTTGACCACGATTGAGGCGCCAGGGGGTGGACCACGACGGGGCCCATGAAATAACAGAGCCTCCGTCTTATCTAGGGCCACCCGTAAGCCCAGCGCCTCAATGCGCCCGACCACCAGGGAGACTCCCCTTGTGGCCAGGCGCGCCGCCTCTTGGAAGTTCGCCCCCCGGTTGACACAAACCCTATACCAACCCGTCTGGCCAGCGTGGTATACTAGGCCAAAACTGCTTTTCCATGACCAGCAGTGGACTACTAAAGGCTGTTGATGAGGATTATTGAATGCCTGAATACTTAACTGAATACTTAAAAAGTACTTAGGCAACACTACTTAGAACGTACTTAGAATAGTCGTATATAATAAATATTAATAATGCACACGGCACTGTGATCCCAATCTAGACAAGGCTAGTATTAATGAAACCAGACTTCTGATAAACGTACTTATATATTTTTAAACCAGCTGGTACCCGCACTAGCTGGTTCGTTTGCGTGGAATTTGAAATGTGCTACCTTAGTGGGTTGAATTCCCAGATCGTGCAAAATTTTAAAGGGTTTTTCTGAGAGGAAAAATAGCCAAGTTACTCCTTATATAGACAGCTACCTGGTAGTAAAATATTATCAAAATCGGTCCAGCCGTTTAGAAGTTAACCCGAACAAACAGACAGACAAAAAATCTTTAAACTGGTTTTAGGCATAGGTACCGTGTAAATAACTGTGTGAGCATGAAAAACCCCTATTATTTTGCAATTACAACCAGAAACTAAAATTATATTTATTTGTATAAATACATACACATAGATCCTCCTTTAGACCTCCTTTCTAAGGAGAGGCCTATGTCCAGCAGTGGACTATTAGAGGCTGTTGATGATGATGATGATGATGATGATGATACATATAGATAAATTACACTCAGACTAGCACTATATTGACAGGCCAGTCGATATGATGTGTTAGTGTCAAATCAAATAATAACATTAAACATGAATGTTCGGGTTCGATTCCCAGGTCGGACCAAATGTTTGTATGATCTGCGGAAATTTGTTTCGGAACCCAATCTCAAATTTTCTATGTATAATATGTATGTATCAGTCAATATAGCTTTCATAGCACAATCTCTGCTTAGTTTGAAACTAGATGGCGTTGTATGTAAGATGTTAGAAATATAATATATATATATATATATTAACAACTCCCGCTCTAGGAATATATCCTGTGTTGCGAGGACTTTTACACACATACATCAAACGGACACAGAACATCCAGACTTAGGAGAACAATTTGTGGCTCACAACACTCAGCGCAGTAGGAAGCGGCGAGGTGACAACAATATGAGGGTCACAACACGGATTCACCAGGGACTTCCTTTCTAGGGTATACCTGGTTCCCCGGCTATTAGTACCCGGCGACGGCGTGCGGTTTTAGTCGGTTCGAGTCCGACATGCCACCGACAGGTGGTATCCGAGGGGATTTCCGCACGGAAAAAAAAAAGGGTCACAACACGGAGTAGTAGGAAGCGGCGAGGTGACCGCTTAAACCGCTACGCCATCCGTTCGGTTTCCTGTTACATATTTCCGTCTTTTCACGAAATTATTCTCACATTTACGTTAAAGTGTGAGAGAGAGGAGAGGACAAATTCCAAATCATAATCGTACCAACCTGAATAAAACATTTAAAATGACATGAAAATAACATAACGTATGTGTTCCAATCATGAGTAGGGTGTTTTTAAAATAAACATATTACTGTGTTAATGAAGAAATCAGTAGGTAGGTATATCACGAAATAGAAGTGATAAAAAAGATAACATTGACAATGATCGAATGTTTTAGTTGATGTGAACTAAAAAGAAAATGGTGTTTTTTTTGCTTATTCCTTGTAGATATTTTGTATTTATTTCTCCAGAAACTATTTGACTTTTAAGTCAGTTCAAGTCAGAAGTATTGTTGAATGGTTTTTCTATAATGGTCTTATTTGATCACAGTTGTATACCCAATGTTTTAGCTGTTAGTTTTCAACGCATAAAATTACAGAATATAATTTTCACGTGCCCCAATTTAAGAGGTTATACAGGCCGCTCTCTGTAAATTACATAAAAGAGATAAATTATATAGCAGTATAATAAAGTTAAACCGTACGTAAAAAAGTAAATGACGTAGTGGTTCCCTACTGCGCCGAGTGTTGTGGGTTCGAACCACACATGGGACAGAAAAATTGTTATCCACAAATTGTTGTTCTGAGTCTGGGTGTTCTTTGTGTCCGTTTCATCGTTTCATGTATGTAAAGTCCGCCGCGACCAGGAGTTGTCTTTACAAAAAAAAAACTGAAAATGACATAATTTTTATCATTACAAATTCAGAATTGATCATCAAAGTGGCTCGTGTGTACGGGTGCGCTGGGTCGGAAGCGAAGCGCTGCGTGCTCCGCGTGATGGAGGGCCCCGTGCGCGCGCTCGCCGCCTCCGGAGACCTCAGCCCCGCCTTCGTGGCGCTGCTGGACGAGTGCCCGCCCGGCGCTGAGACCCTGCTCACCAGGCTCGTCCATATCTATACCGAAAAAGGTAACAGTTTTTATCTTAGACTTCCTATGCAAAAGTAATAAAAATATACTAGATTTTCGGGCATCAAACACCAAACGCTATCAAAGACAATACGCCTTTCTCAATCTAGAGTAAGATTTTGGCGTCACTCAATTCCAAAAGTCCTATACCAACCCGTCTGGACCGCGTGGTTTAGTAGGCCAAAACCTCATTTTTTTAAGGTGAGGCCTATGTCCAGCAGTTGATTATTAAAGGCTTAATGATTGATGAAAATGAACATAAATTTATGCATTTATTAATTTACATATTTCGCTACTACTTGGATTATGACAATAATTATATATTTCATAGTCTAAAATGTTAAAGCTTTGTATTGTATTAAAACAAAGGGACAGGTTCGTTTTTCAAATTGTTTCAAAACCTGCCCTTGAAATGTAGAATAACATATTTTAGAAGTTGTAAAGGTTTCATTGTCATTTTATTTTATTGTTCGACAGCTCCTCCAACGCCCGAACTGGTGTCGAAGGTGCGTGAACTGTACGCGACGCGGGTGTCCGACGTTCGGTTCTTAATACCTGTGCTTACAGGACTCTCTAAGAAAGAGGTAAGTCTAAAAAAAGACCTGAACATTCAACTAAGTAATCCAGACTGAAATACATATTGTACACTAGCTGACCCGCGCAACTTCGTCTGCGTCTCTCAATAGTAATAAATTTTCTCCGTTTTTGAAACATTCTTCATTGGTGCTCCGCTCCTATTGGTCTTAGCGTGATGATATATAGCCTATAGCCTTCCTCGATAAATGGGCTATCTAACACTGAAAGAATTTTTCAAATCGGACCAGTAGTTCCTGAGATTAGCGCGTTCTAACAAACAAACAAACAAACTCTTCAGCTTTATAATATTAGTATAGATTGAGCAAACTCAAACTCTCTTTATTTCATAAAAAAAATAAAATTGTTTGAAATCGTCTTTTAATGTGACTCTGAAGTCATAGAACAATACACAGAAATGCAACAATCTCTGTTTTGTCAAATAGTAAGCAAATAAATAAAACTTATTAAACTTACACACAATCTATGATATGCCTGTGTCTTCAACCGCCCGTTTCCAAGGGGTTGAGCCTTATGAGAAGAAAGGGCAAACAAACTCATGGCCACTCTTTTGCAATTCACAGATAGATATAATGGCACTATTAAATATACCACAACATTGTTTTGATGTGTGCCAGTATGACTGTTATTAAGGAAGCATGTTTATAATTTATTTGTAGAATCCATGTATTTAAAGAAAAAACTTAACAGTTGCTATATATGACGTCACGCAGTGTAGTATTGCATACAAAAATGTACCGCGTTAGTCAAAACAACAGGTTTAACGTTTACTAAAGAGATTCTGACTTGACATGACAATCATCTACCCCATTCTCTTCTTGCATTTCAATGGCGTTGCGATTGGTGAAGATTTCGGTGTGGGTCAATCGCAAAGTTGAACGCGGTTACCGTGACGTTCGGGTCGATGTGAAATAGAATCATACTAGGCCCTCAGTTTATAGGAGTCTATCCCCCTCTTATTTTTGACTCCAAAGCCCGTCTACACACAGTTGCGGGTGTGTATGAGTGGCGGTAGTTACCTAGAATACCACTCTTAATTGTTAATTTTTGACAGAAATTTGATACAAAAAATGTTTTCTTTTTGCTAGATTTTGGCAGCATTACCGAAGTTGATAAAACTGAATCCAATAGTCGTGAAAGAAGTGTTCAATAAACTTCTAGGACTGCAGAGCACACACGAAGAGTATTCTCCGGGTATGTACACAGCAAATTTCTAGTATTTTTCGTGTGGTTACCACTATAGCAAGGCTTTTTTTTTGAGGTGATGCCTCACCAGGGCTCAAGGTGAAGTGGTGTGTCGAAACCGAACTGGCTAAAACCACTCGGTGTTCCATACTGTATGGGTCTATGTAAGTGACTCGGTTATACCGTAGTAAGGAAGTCGTCGAGAAACCATAAACTAAATCCTTATGTTCGAAGTGGGGTTTGGACCAGTACCCACTTGAGCGCAATTCTGACGCCCTAAAAAGTACCCTGCTGACACTTACAATTCATAATAAGTGTGTGTGAGTGTGTGTGTGCGCATGTGTGTGTGTGTGTGTGTGCATGTGTGTGTGTGTATGTGTGCTGACGTCATTATTAAATGTAAATAAATTTGTATTTTTTATTTCAGAGTATAGTATAATGATTTGTAAGTAAATATAATTGGTTAATAGTACTCGTATGACAAGTAGCTAATTATAACACCTTTTATTTTAAAACAAAAGTAAATCAGTATCTTATGAAACAACTAGCAGAATCAACTTCCACATGATTGTTATTTAATATTGTTATTGGTATCTATTTGCGTATGTATGTATTTATATAAGTTTCTATGTATTTATTTATAAGTATAATGTGTATAGGTTCTAGTGTATGATAGGTTTATATATTATGTGTATTTGATATATTATATAGTTTTCCTATTTCATTTCGAATTTTATGTAAAATGCACCTACTTCCCGTTTTCTCTGCGTCACCCAATGGTTGACTGGTAGAGAATGCCGTAGGCATTAAGTCCGCCAAATGTTCATGATGTGTAAAAATAAAATAAATAAAAATGGGTATTAATCTTTATTGCACACGAACGCTATCGGGGGGGCTATGCTTTAGCTAATATGGGATGGCTTGACACTAGTGTGTTGTATTGATGTCTATGAACGGTGGTAGTCACTTACTATCAGGTGATCCGCTCGTTCATCCTATATTCCATTAAGTACTAAATTTTAATACATAGACTGACTCGCCCGGATGTGCAGTGGCACTACCACTGCCCATCCATACGCGACTGCTGTGCTGACGTCTCGGGTCCGATTCCCGGGTCTGATGTTTGTATGATCTGCAAATATTTGTTTCGGAGTTTGTGTGTTTTCTATGTATAATATGTGTGTATTTACAAAAAAAGTACAAAATAAGTATTCTATCCGTCAATCTAGTTTTCATAGTTCATAGTTCAAGTTCTAATGAGTCTGAAACTAAATGTGTCAGATGTCCGAAACACTAAGTGGATAGGATAATCTGCTTTATCGCCTAAAGCGATCTCTAACATGACATTTTTGAATGTACAGAATCCACTATAGTTTACACAGTTTACTATAGTTTAGGACGGGAGCTTGTATTAACTTGGTAGTAAAACTTGAACTGTCATTGTAACCATAAGAGCTCAAAATCTATACTAAACCTAGATAATTTTATGTTGCTGTTTTAGTTTTAGCAATCATTTGCAGCAACTTCTGGTAAGTATTAATTGATAGGATATGTGGCTAGGGCTTTTTTTTACGTGTGGAAACCCCCTCGCGTCACCCCACCGGGTTTTGCGGCAGGGTGGTGTGTCGGAATCGGACCGACTAAAACCACATGCCACTCTGCGCCTGTAATAGGAGGAATCCGGGAACTGCTGTTATTAAGCCATCCAGACCAAGTGTGGCCATGTTTTTCGTCAAAAAGTGAAATTAGAAAATATTTCTAAATAATTGTATTTTAAGTAATGAGTAATTTGCTTTTAAAAGAGTTATATTGTTACCTAGGAAAATGAATAATATGAATGAGGGAAAAGAATGATGAATGATAAATGATTTTATTTTGAATTAAAGCTTTCAGACACTTCGATTTATTTTTTAAAGATGACGTGGCGCTGCCATTTCCTATGATTAAACTTGAGAATAGATTCACTGTGTGTGTATTTCATAAACACCACCCTCTTTCTACCACCACCAATCTGAGCTCTTTATGAACAAGAACCAATTTAGTTCAACGTTCATTAACGTCATTAGACTAATAGACATACAAACTTAAGTACGCAAAAATATTTCTTCCCCCAATTAATGGGTAAAATGTTGTGAAAATAGTTTTATGAATGGAGGTAATTGACGAATACAAGAGTGGAAAACGACCACGGAAAAGATGGATAGACTTGCGTAAAAGAAAAAAATAGAAAGAGATAATATTCTGACCCCAATTTTTTTTAGGAAAAGTGCAATAAGGAAGCATACGCGTTAAAATCAACACGCTTATAAATAAATTTATATTTTGCCAAACACGTACTTATATATATGCATTATAAGACGCAAAGTGCAGCATCAGTATGAAGGGCACATTGTTTTAAATGGTCATGAAATCATATCAAAAATAAAGAACCGTATCTTGTTAGATCAAGCTCTTGATACCTTACAAACAAATTTGAACCTTGTTACTTAAGTATAGAGTTATTATTTTAATATGTATGTTCAACTAATATTACTATCAATTGTCAACAGTCTCTCCAGCTGACTTACTGGTGGCTCTGCATCTCATAGATCCGAGTAAAGACGATCTCGTATTTATCATCAAGGCAACTGCTCTCTGCTTCGCTGAGAAACAGATTTATACGCAGGACGTAAGTAATAAAGTCTGCGAAGAAGGGATTATTTTTAAATGGAATATTAGTTAGCAAAAGAATATAATTTAAAAACTGTAAGTCTCGCAATGTAAGTATACGGGCTGTCACCACCCCTATTAATCCCACGGGTATTGTAAGAGGCGACTAAGGGAACAAAGTATGCAGAAGAAAGCACTGCAAAGAGAAGGAAAACTTGAAACAAATCCTATACCAGCCCGTCTGGCCAGCGTGGTATAGTAGGCCAAAATCTCCTCTCCAAGGAGAGGCCTATGTCCAACAGTGGACTAATAAAAGTTGTTGATGGTGATTAAATCTTGGAACGTATTTTTGCTGATGCATATTTTGATTAGATCTGATTTCTATTTAATTAGTAAGCTGATAAAAAATTATAGTGATCTCCAGAACTATTAAATAGATTTATTATATTGGATAGAGTATTTATATTAAGCTTCCTAGTTTATAAGCTATGTATCATCACGTTACGAAGAGAGCAGCAGTGATCATAATATAAACGTAGATAAAACGGCTTGACTTAAAAAAACAAATTATTTATTAACAATTATTTATTAATTAATTAAATTAATTATTAACAAATTTTATCGATAGGTACTAGCTGCAGTTCTCCAAAGGTTGACCGAAGAGCAAGAGATACCAGTGCTGATGATGAGAACCGTACTCCAAGCACACACGCTGTACCCGAACTTGGGACCCCTGGTGCTTGATATTTTGACGCTGCTTGTTAAAAAAGAGGTAAGTTTTCTTGTTAATCTAATATCATACAGTAATTTATATTTACTGCTTAGTTTACTTTGGAAATACGTCAAAGAATTTGTTATTTGATCTTCTGATATTGGGTTCTGTATATAAATATACGTACAGTACAATTATTTTTTTCTAGAATGAATATAAGGAATATAAATTTTATCATGATATTATAATTTTATTTTTTGTTTAATTTATTTGGGATAATCGCAATGAGTTTTGTTTTTCTATTTTTTTTATCGTTTATCAATTCATCGCTTACTCTTTTTCAAGCAAAGTTCTCTTGTACTTGTTTATCTATGTTTTCTTTAGTCAAAAAAACTTATCAAGTACATTTAAAATCACTATAACTTTTGTTATCGTTTTGACGCCAGTCTATACTGCCATACTAAAATCGATGTTAAACATTTAAAGATATCGACCGTTCCGTCCGATCGTTTTACCGTGTCCGATTCTTACGACGACTGACCGATCTGTCGGTGAACGCGCAGGTGTGGAACCACAAAGTGGCGTGGGAGGGGTGGCAGAAGTGCTGCGAGCGGCTGATCCCGCGCTCGGCGCCGCTGCTGGCCTCGCTGCCGCCGCGCGCGCTGAGCGCGTGCACCGCGGTGCCGCGCCTGCGCACCGCGCTCGCCCAGCACGTGGCCGCGCTCGCGCCCCCCGCGCGCGCCGCGCTGTCGCCGCACGTGCTGCACGTGGCGCAGGTACGCACCACCAGGCCCACGTTTCATTGCACCCTTCGATTCGGCGACGCTCTTTGACGTTTAGGTTTCATGTGCACGGCGACGGCCGCACGGCGTAGTGGTTTGTGTGACGGACCGCTACGACGAAGGTCGCGGGTTCGATTCCCGCTCGAGGCAAACATTTTTGTGCGTGAACATTTAATGTTTGTATAATATGTATTTACAAAAAAGTATAAACGTATTTATATCAGTTGTCTAGTACTCATAGTACAGCTCTGCTTAGTTTGGAACTAGATGGCGTTGTGTGAATATGATAGAATATTATATTATTATTATTATATGTATGTATGTGTGTGATTGCATAAACGGCGGTAATCGATTACCATCACATGACCGTCCGCTCGTTTGCCATCCAATAAACCATAAAACAAACGCACCACCGGGCCAAAATAAAAAAAATGGTCTAAACCACTGGTCGTATAAGTATGGTACCAGCTTTTCTAAGCTTAAAAACATTTTAGCTATTAAATTTTTTGATTGACTACGGGTGCTGGTTTTGTCTTTACTCTGTAACTTCCAATTTAATATCACGCGTGTATTTCTAATAGCAGATATTTATAAATGGCCATCAGACGTTCATGTATTATGTTTTTAAAATATAATATGGAAAAATTAAAATAAACATCGACGAAACAAGAAGAAAACATAATCTTAGCGCATAACTTTAAAATGAAATATTTATTTAGTCTACAGATGAACAGTTTCCGTCGCCGGTCCCGTTGCCCGTACCGCCGCCGAACCCCCTGGAGCCTCTCCCACCAGGAATGGACTGCTGAACACCCCCTCCCCGAACGATGGGACGTCTACTACTTAATTCGCGAAGATTGTTATTCAAACACAACATTAATACCTCAAGATTGCTTTGCGTACATTTTCTCTTTTTTTCACACGGCACTGCTCGCGATGAAGTATTTCTCCTAGGGAATATTTTTTATCTGAAAGTAACTGGTATATATATGACAACGAGAGTACATTTAATAATGAACAGTTGTGTACTCGCTGTATCATACGCGATGCTTTGTAAAATACCCATTAAACCACTTTAAAAGCCGAGCTTAAGCAACTCTTTCGTTGTTTTTGACCCATTCTCAAAAATCCCGGAGGGGGGGGGGGCATTCAAATCATCATCATCATCATCAACAGTCTACTAGTCCACTGCTGGACATAGGCCTCTCCTTAGAAAGGAGGTGACCATTCAAATGGTGATACATAAATAATATTTATTTCTATAAGTAAATCTTTTCAGATATTTTTATAAGTCGGTCAAGTGGCAATGGACTCGTGTCTTAAATTTTGTTCATGATGTCAATGATGGACGTTGGTGGTAACTTACCACCAGGTGATCCGTTTGCTCGTATGCCTTCCTATATCACAAAAAAGGGTCATGTTACGTTATTACTAGTATACCGTTGTTAGGCATAATATAGTTGTGTATATTGGTATTTTATTACTGTTACTTATACAGTGAATTACAGTGAATTAATGCCTTAAATAACAGTTAAGTTTAATTATTTGTGTTTGAAGTACAATCGTCGAGAAAATCCTTTAGTAGATTTAGATGAGGAGTGTTATTAGTTTTATATTAGGGCAAATATTGTATAAATAATAATAAATATTATGATACAATTGAATTGTTTTTTTTTTGACATACATACATACATACACACACACACACACCCTATATTGCGGCAGAGGTAAGCAATATTAAACGCTTACATTTCATCATCATCTTAGCAGAAAGACGTCCACTGCTGGACTTATGCCTTCACCAAACTTCACCACAAAACCCGGACCCGTGCTGCCTCTAACGTCTTCCCACGACCTCCACCAGGTCGTCGCACCACCTTGTGGAGGGTCTACCCACGCTCTCTCATCTGGTACGCGGTCGCTCAAACTTTTGAACTTAATGCCTACATTAGCTCACTAAAATTTTAATTCAAGCCACGTAATAGGGGGCCAAGCCTTTGCTGTCATCCGTTTACATTCGATTCCCACCCAGGACAAAAAAGTATTGTGGCGACTCTCACATACAAAGAAACAGAAACATACTACAGCGCTATCTAACGAAGACACATCGAACTACGGAGTAACTTCTGAATGAGAATTGCTAATCCTGTATCGCGATATGAAGAATTCTCTCGTCGATTAGCATATACACAACTTCCCAACATCAACCGATGGGCCACGGCCCGCCAGGTATGATCACCTCGCCTTGCCGGAGTATCCTCCCTTTGTGCATGAGACAGCCGACGGCCTCATAGCGTAGGTTTGTGTAGCGGACTGCTGCGGCAAAGGTCGCGGGTTCGATTCATACATTTGTGTGCATGAACATTTAATGTTTGATTTGGTCTGGGTGTTTAAAAAAAGTATATATGCATTTATATCAGCTCTGCTTAGTTTGGGACTAGATGGCGTTGTGATAGAATATTATACTATTTACATGTATATTTATGTATGTGTGGGATTGTATATGAAAGAAAGACAGAAAAATACTTTAATTGGCACATTTCAGAGGATTGTTACATATTTACAACAGAAACATGTATAAATACATCTGCACCAATATGGACCACGGCTCAGCATAATGCTAGGCGCAATGGCGCTGGTTTTTAAGCGCAGCACAAGGGTGTTATCCGCGTGTCTGTTTGATAGTGTAAATATTTGATCATTATGATAGTTTAGTGTAGTAGGTTATCAAGAAATAATGGTTTGAGAATATTCTGAGAACGATAGTGATTGCATAATAACTTGATTGATAGGAAACCATTTAAATATAATGAGTACTAATTGGATAACAATTTGATTGAATTAAGACATTATGACTATGATAGTAAAAATATAATAATTTGTAGTGAATAATAAAATAAGGTGAGATATTATGGCACAGCACGGCATTCAAAGTCATGGCACGCACTCCATTTTATATCGCGCTAAGAGTTACTCTGTCGTCTTCGGAATCCTGGTACTCCAGTAAGAATTCCTCCAATTTCGTTTTGAAAGAATACTCACTTGGTCTTCTTTTTATGAGAGGAGAGATATTGTTAAAGCATTTCGACGCGGAGTAACGAAAACTACCCTAGAAGGCAGTTGTCCTATGATGTGGTATTGAAAGCTGCAGTGAACACTCTCTACTCATATTTTGGTTGTACAAATAGGAGGGTGTACGGAAGTTAATTACGCCAAATAACAGACTTGCCATATGAATCCTTCGACGCGCATGCATTTTTAAAATGATGCGCTTTTTAAAAAAAGGGGTGACATGACCCCTTTTGGGTAAGGTAAAACAACCTGGCACAAGCGTTTTTAAGTCTTTATATCAGGCTCTTCACTTATAAATGGCCGCGCCTTGTACAAGACCTTTAGTTTATAAAAACAAACACGAACAGCTTTCGAGATGTGGTTCTCAAACCTCAAGTCAGCGTCCATTATCATCCCCAAGTTGCGAACTTCATAAACTCTCTCAATCTATTAGTTAAATCTTTATAACTACTAATACAACGGTAACGTCAGTGCACCTACCTTACCAGATTTATCAACCATCCAAAGGTTGGCTGGTAGAGAATGCCCAGGGCATTAAGTCCACTTTGTATACAAGTACGCTTGCAGGTATGTCTGAACAAAGTTTCTCCATTTTTCATCGTGGGAGAGCCATGCTTCGGCAAATACGGGCCAGGCTCGACCAGTTGGCCTGCCATGAACTCTCGAAACAGGTCAATAATAGCTGAGAATTGAATGGTCGTCTTATTTTGTACCATAAACGCAGTGATTAGCAGGCGAGTCAGCGATCTCCGGTCAGCGGTCACGTGATCAACATTTCACGGCCTGGGCGTTACCTTTTTTTTTTTCTGTGCGGAAATCCCCTCGGATACCACCTATCGGTGGCATGTCGGACTCGAACCGACTAAAACCGCACGCCGTCTCGGGTACTAATAGCCGGGGAACTAGGTATACCCTAGAAAGGAAGTCCCTGGTGCCCCGACATAAGTAAGTTTTATTGAACTGTTTTGTGTAATTTTAAAATAAAAACGTAAAATAGTAATAAACACTTTTACCATAGCCTTAATTTAATAGATTTAGATGATTCCGTGTATATAAATCTACAGAAAGCAGCATTATTAAACACACGTTAAGGAAGTTCATGGTTATCGAAGAAAACAAAACAGTACAACACACAGCAACCACCTACTAGTACATAACCAAACCATACACCTCACTGTATTTACTTGGTTTTGGCCCGTAAATACGGTTAAAACCAGCCTCGAGCAGAGAAAAACAAACAAAAAGCCATTTATTCAGAAAATTAGATTGCACAATAAAACTAGACATAGAATCACAGTACTGAATCATAGTGACAATAATTAATATCAATAGGTGAATATCTGTGTGGTGAAGGATTCAAAATACAGAGTGTCACCATCCGTCTTCATCCCGTGGGTGTCGTAAGAGCCGACTGAGGGAGTAAACTACGCAGGACCACAACACTGCAAAGAGAAGGAAAACTTGAAACAAACCCTATACTATATGGTAGGCCAAAACCTCCTTTCTAAGGAGAGGCTTATGTCCAGCAGTGGACTAGTAAAGGCTGTTGATGATGACGGTGATGAGGTGAATATTATATTGTGAATAGAGATTCGCAATTACATGTGCTTGTCTGCCCCCTCTAACTTAAAAAAAAATCTGATGGCAGTGATTGTCAAAAATCAAGTCAAATGCGACCTCTATTTTTAAATATTTATTTCACTGTTTACAGCTTGTTTGTAATCTCCGATTACAAAGGTACTTAATAAACCATCCACTTCAAGTTTGAAAATCGCCTCTGCAATTGATTTCTAATTTTGTATACTTATGTCAACATAACAAATGTCGTTCAAAAATAGGTGAGACATATCATATCTTTTTTCAGTCGAGTATTTATTGTATTAGTGGCTAAAAGAGTGGTTATTTATATTGTTTTATCGAAAGAAACAGTTTGATCAGTTTGTTTTTTTTTTTTTTTTTTATAAAGACAACTCCCGCATTAGGTATATATCCTGTGTCGCGGGGGACCTTACATACATACATGAAACGGACACAAAGAACACCCAGACTCAGAACAACAATATGTGGATCACACAAAGTGTCGTTCCATGTGGGGATCGAACCCACAACACTCAGCGCAGTAGTGAGCGGCGTGGCGACCGCTTAAACCACTACGCCATCCGTGCAGTCGAAGTCGAAGTACTTGACAATGAGCTAAATAATAAGATTCTAGGTTTATAAAACCGGAATACTTTGTTTCTTTAGATAAAACAAATATAAATAACAGCTTTTGAGACTTCGAGACCTCCCATCGTCGCAAAAGATGTCGGGTCAGGTTACCTGTAAAGTTGAGCTACTCTGAACTTGGCAGTTATTCGAAAAGTTTAAGGTAGGCCCTCAGAGTGTCACCATGACAGACACAGAAAACTGGTGTTAATAATTATTTCCTTGTTTTTCACAGTGACTGAAGTTACCGGCAACAACCCCCTCCCCCCCTCTGGCTTCTAGAACAGAGGCTCAATTGGTAGCAACGCACTTGTGAAGTACAATGCAGGCACTCACCGTCTGCTCGTTCGCCCCATGCCATCAAGAATTGGTTTCATCATCATCATCAGCCCTTAATAATCCACTACTGGACATCGGCCTCTCATTAGAAAGTAGGTTTTGGCCTACTACCAAGTGCCGTTGCCCTACGTAGTTTAGTCCCTTAATCATCTCTCACGACACCCACGGGATGAATAGGGGTGGTCGCACTCCGTATTCTTAATCTGTCACTTCACTTTAAAGACAGACCGAGAATTTGTTTCGTAATGTTAAAAAAACAATTTGATACACATGACAAGTTGATTGGTAAGTGGCCCTGACTGCTAAGCCAAAGGTCGTAGGACTGATTCCCACCCCTGGCAAATATAATTTTAGTTGGAGGAACGGTTGGAAATACACTAATCGGTGCGAGAACTTTCATTGCGCCATGCAGGATTAATAGTTACTCCGTAGTTCAGTGAGTCTTTGTTAGATGGTGTTGAATAAAGTTTTTCGTTGTATGTGGAAGTCAACAGTGTGATGAACACGATCATTTGTCTGTCAGAATGTAATTTATTTATAATATTGTTACGAGCCGATAGTTCGACAAGTAAAAGTAGGTGGTTAATTACTAAAATTAGCACTATATTTATCGACACACACTTTTACAAACAATAACTAAACTCCTTAGTCGCACTAGGAAATCGCAAAGCAATACTCGCATGTACGGCCCCACACGCTTCGCTTTTATAGGGCTTCCGAAATAACTAGAATAATCCCTAGGATTCGATAGTAGGTTTAAGGTAATAAGGAATTTCCAATAAAAATAATCTTCCGTTACCCAAAACACTAGATGGCGCTGCAAGTATCGGAATCATGAACCTTAATCTCAACGCGTAGTGTGCGTTACTTGGTACTAAATGGCGCTCCTCCAGATTCCATACGGCACTCGAGTGTTCATGAACTAATGACTTCATTAGTGTCCGACCGAATGTTCGGTTTCGGTTTCGGTTTCGGTCGAGTTTCGGCAAAAAAACGAGTTTCGGTTATGTTTCGGTTTCGGCAGCAAACCTGCCGAAACTACGACCGAAACCGAAACTGCATTCGGGAGTTTCCGTGCTGTGCTCGTGTGTGTTCGGCGCGGTAAATGACATCCAAGCGACGATGACATTTGGCCGCGTCCACGTGCGTAATCATGTCGTAACCTGTTTGTTTGCAGTGCATTTTGTTTGTTGTGAGTTTTCGTGTGATATGTTTTGAATTCGGTAGGTTTTATCATGTGATATAATATAAGAGTACCTCGAAAAGTAATTTAATAAAACAAAGGTGTACCTAGATTATAGTAGAATCAAGTTTACCATAAAAAAATTAAATCATTACTTAAATATTAAGTACCTATCTACCTATAACTATTGTGATATTAGGTAACAACATAAATAAATAAGTATTAAAGCTACCTATGTGATTTAAAGAAAAAAAAATTAAAACTGACTGATTATAATACATTTTCTTTATTTTTCTCTGAAAACATGATCCTTATAAGAAAGTTTCGGTTTCGGTTTCGGTTTCGGCCGAAACTGACACCGTTGCCGAAATTCGGTTTCGGTTTCGGTTTCGGTCGTAAAAACCAGTTTCGGTCGGACACTAGACTTCATACTAGAATCATTTAATCCTATGGCGCAACAATATGCTTGTATGTGTTTAGAAATATTTAAGTATGTTTATCAGCAGTCTGGTTAAAATAGTACAGGCCCTGATTCGTTTAGGATTAGACGACCAGGTGTGAAATTTCCATGGTTTAAAAAAAAAAAAAAAATTTATGAAAGTCATTGTTCGTAAACCAATTTCTTATATTCAAAGTATGTACAAAAAACATTACGTAGGTAGTTATGTTCCGCCCTGGCAACAGTGTTTTCTCCTCGCTATTAATTCACATAGTTCGTTTAAGAAACTGTACACCACTACAAATCCATAGAGCTCCAATACTGAAATATAAAATAAATAGAAACGTAAGAATATAAAGAATTGAACCGTGGGAGAGCGGATATACTTCTGCACAAATGGGCCAGCTCAACCGGAGTGATCACGGCTTCACGGAAAACCACGGCGTTAAGAAATTCTTTCGTTGATTTTTAGGTTACTGGTGCCCCCCTCCCCTAATTCTGGGAAGGGGAGGGAAAGGCCGTCAGCGCAATTGTGACTAGACTTGTAGGTGTCCATGGCCAGCGGTAGTTGTTTGGTCCTTGTACTATAAAAAAAACGGCGTGAGGGGTCTATGGACCCGCGGTCGCAACCCGGTTGAATACCTTTCGCTTTTTGGTAGACCGTTGCTAAAGTGTCGGAAAAAAGTCTTGTTACACATTTTTTGGTCTAGCGCGCGATAAGGAATTTAACAATATTAATTATTTGGACTAGATCAAAACACAGAATGGTTTGATCTAGTCCAGAGCAACAAATGTCTCGGTTTTTTTTTTATACATAGTGGGATTCGTACAGCTATCATTAAAAGAAGGCAGAACAGCGCTAGGTGAAAACGTATAAGTTTGCAATTCACCTAGGTTTGTATTAAATAAATGCAAAATGTCGCGTAAACTTGCCATTGATATAGAGTAGGTATTTATGGAATTTTGCGATCTATTGAGTTACTAATATTTCTTAGGGTCAATTCGCATATCGTGCGGAGCGAGAGTGCGTGGAACTCTGCCGTCTCCTTCTGCGAGCAAGTTATGCTCGCGAAGGAGACGGCGGAGCGGGACCGGGAGAGGTTTAGGACTCTCCCGGCCCGCCAGGCCCGGGAACGGGCCAGGTACCGCAGGCGACTCAGGCGCCGGAGGTCGCAGAACGACCTCCGTCCTCCATAAGCGCAGGCCTGGGGGTGACAGGTGAGGCCATCTGTCACCCTAGCAGAAGCAGGCCGGGGTGGCGGCGAGCGCGTTGCGAAGCGCGCTCGCTTCCAGGGAGCACAGGGAACATGGGGTTCCCACACGGGGAAGTCGTCTACTCGTCTGTAGATGACCCGAGGTATGTCGGGGTACCAGGGACTTCCTTTCTAGGGTATACCTGGTTCCCCGGCTATTAGTACCCGAGACGGCGTGCGGTTTTAGTCGGTTCGAGTCCGACATGCCACCGACAGGTGGTATCCGAGGGGATTTCCGCACGGAAAAAAAAAAAAAAAGGGTCAATTTGCACAGAAGTGGTAGGAGACGCAACTTGGTAACTAGCAGTTTCATTGTCGTACCACTTTAAGCTTTATATTTATTTATTTATTTACACATCATGCACATCTGGTGCATTGGCGGACTTAATGCCTAAGGCATTCTCTACCAGTCAACCATTGGGTGATGCAGAGAAAACGGGAAGTAGGTGCATTTTAGTTACAGTTGATTTAGACATTTTATATTACATGTATACTTTGCAATCATATAATAAATCATATAATATATACACATATACAAATCTGTCATATACTACACATATACATATTAATGTTACACATAAGTACATACCTTATAATATATAAATACTGTATAAAAGTATATGAATACATACATACACACGCAAGTAGATACTGATAACAATTTTGTATTAAAATAAAAAAAAAACATGAGCAATTTGATTCTGCCAGTTGTTTTACCAGATACTGCTTTACTTTTACTTTAAAGGAAAAGTATTGGAAGTATTATATCTATGTGACAAAAGATAATGCAATGTTTTTCTGGTTTATTTAACTTCTTCGGCAGCAGCTCATGTCTGCTAACTATGGAATTATTTTATAAGGTAAGCTTTGGAAAATGTAGTGGGTAGTGTATTAGTAAGTTTAGTTATAAGGATTTCATAAGTATACATATTATACTACTGGTTGGTTTTCAGAAATAAAGTAAATTAAATTAAAATGAAATAAAATAGTATTCCTTAAAATCCGTGGCTGAGACGCGCCTATTGACGGTGCGCGGCGACGCACGCTGTTCTGGCGTCTTCTATGCATCTTATAAAGGATACTATGAGTTGTATTAAAGAGATAAAGCTTAAAATGATATGACAGTGTTTTGTATCCGTTAGTTGTGGGATTGCTTAAAATACCTTCAATAAAAGAAAAAAATACTTACTGATGAGCATAAGAAAAATCATGTACCATCCTTTTGACTCATCTTGAACAATTGTAATTAATGTCAACAGAATTACTTCTAAACACCAAGTGATAAACCGACAGACAAGGTAATGTGTTATGTGGGCAATATTTCCCTAAAAATAACAATTATATCACACATCAGTCATGTTTTTTTTATTTTTATCTTCATGTTTATTTCTGTCTGCAGGCTAAACGAGAAATATTTTACTGCATTATTTAATATGTACGCAGAACAACAGCACTGTAAAGAGAAGGAAAACTTGATACAAACCCTATACAAAAAAGTCTGGCCAGCGTGGTATAGTAGGCCAAAACCTCTTTTCTAAAGAGAAGCCTATGTCCATCAGTGGACTATTATAGTTAAACCGCCGTAAGCTTGGCCCTCCTGATGGTTTGGGGGACGCGGGGCGGGGGTGCATTCAACCAATTAGCTAGTGCGTCGCTGTCCGTCGGCAGTGACTGACGTGAAAGCATGGCTATACGTGTTATTTTTCTTAAGACTGCTACACACGGTATTATTTTGCAATATGGATAATCTGCCAACTCTGCGTCACAAAAAGATTAAAAAACTTGAAGTTCGGCTTACCGAGGTTCTACTGTTAAAGTTCTAATAAAGAATATTTATTATTTTACTTAATTTTTAAATTGTATCTGAATATAATTTACATGATGAAGATAAGGTAATTTTATTAAAATTATTTTACAGTATTAAATTTTACAATTAATCATAAAAACTTACAATACACTGACATTATAATACATGGAAATAAATTCGATTTTTATTACATCATGTGTAGATTAAATCTCAAACAAATAAATCTGAAGATATCGAGTTAGTACATCGTGTCATGTATAGCCGAGCGCATCACCCGCCCCGCGTCCCGCAAACCATCAGGAGGGCCAAGCTTACGGCGGTTTAACTATAGGCTGTTGATGTGTGATGTGACCATAATTAAAATATTATCTTAGATTTCAAAGTCATGATGTAATTACTACTACTATCAATATTGACGGCAACTGTTCTTGCAGGCATCAATTGCGGTTACTGCGGTAATCGACATGGTGGCGGCCTGATCGCACCAAAATCGATCCGGCGCCTAGATTTGGTGGCCTAGATTTAGGCAGGGGGGGGAAGCCTCTGGCTGCCCTCGGGATAGGGTATAGTAGCTGCGGGGTCGATTCAGGGGGATTGAAATCTTTAAGAGGGCCCGGGATAGTCTCTCTTATGATTTCGGGGCAGTAGGGGTCAGGATGCGCCTCGCCCAAACGGGAACTCAAGTCGCAAAGACGGCGGATACGTTTGCCGAGAAGCTGCGTTTAATGTTTGCAGTGACGGATTGTGTAAAGATCGCCAGGCCTACCAAATGCGCGGAGATGTGCACTTCAGGCCTAAACGATTCTGTGGCGGCAGAGGATGTTCGCGTTGCAATACGAGAGAAGACAGGTTGCAGTACAGACAACATCAGGGTCGGCACCATCCGCACCGGTCCTTGGTGCGGTGTGGACCAGTTGTCCCGTAGCGTAAAAAAATGGGGGACCTGAAGGACGGCCGTCGGGGTCGTTTTTGGTGGAAATACCACATCCTGTACATCCTGGCTCCTGCGTCCCCTAGAAGCCGAAGATCTAAAGGGATTTTCCACTCACTCCCAAAAAAATACTATTATTACCCGTTTAGGTGAATCCAAACTCCCCTTCAGAAATACGGATTTCGGACACACAAGGAAAAAGACTTACAGTGTAAATTCCAATTGCTAATGTTATACTGTACAAGAAAAGCATAGCTTCGATGACAATCATGCTGGTGTATGACAGATACAACAAGTAATAAACATTGGTGCAGTAATCATCGTCTTGTGTTATTGGCTTCTGACGTAAGGTGGCTCCTTTGCCCGACGAACAGAATGGTAGAAACACATCCATACTACTCCATATGAAAAAGACGAAGCAGAAGAAGGAGCGTAGCTGAAAAGGAATATATAATCATTAATTACACGGTGGATTCAGGTTCGTGTGGTGACGGATTAAGAATACAGAGTGTCACCACCCCTATTCATCCCGTGGGTGTCGTAAAAAGCGACTAAGGCATCAAACCATGCAGGATATCACAGCAGAGAGAAGGAAAACTTGGCACAAACTCTATACCAACCCGTCTGGCCAGCGTGGTATAGTAGGCCAAAACCTCCTTTTTAAGGAGTGTCCAGCAGTGGACTAGTAAAGGCTGTTGATGATGATTATATATTCAGGTCGGTTGTTTCTAGGCAGCTAATTAATGGCAGACTCGCAACCTAATGTAATTCGGACTTTTCTGGTAACAGATACAATATACAGAAACAAAGGTGGCGGGCTGGTAACCATAATCAGTTTTATATAATCATTTATTCAAAATGAAAAGATGACAAAAGAGCGACTGACTAAAAGAGTTTACAAAGCCCCTGTGAGGTGGTAACCCGGTGCGGGCAGCTCCCTGAAAGACGTACACAGACCGGATCGGTAGTGTCATATGTATAATAAATACTAATAGTGAGTTAACTCAGTTACTTAGAGGAGCAACGCTAAGGTACGGTATGAAGGAGAGCGGAGTCCCCCTCCTGCCCGTAATGTCTGCTTAGTTTGCTAACCGTTCAGGAGTGTCACGTACTAACGTACATCACTTGCACGCGTTTGATTGATTACTAAGATTACTCGCAATTAGTTTAAAATTTAATTAACTCACAGTAGTACTTTTATCTATATTAATTACATTAGTATCGTGATTTAATGCAATCACATGATTGTAAGAATTCAATTTTACCAAAATCTTTGTTCAATATTTTCACCAATTGAAATCTAAAAAATATTCAAAATTATTCTTCAATGTATTTGATATAATTTCTTCCTTCTCCTTCTTCTCTTTAGTCCTAATTCACTTCCTGTTTCATATTCTTTGTTTAACCTTTTATGTTGCATAGGTAAAATATAGTTAAATTAGGCAAGTACTATTTTTTCCTAGCTACCTACGACCGATCGTTATTGTTACAACCCTTACACATTTTTAGTCTAGACAGTCTTGTAGGTATTTAGCGATCTATCAAAGGAGTTGACTCACTATTCGTATTTACTACACATATGTGTAGTAAATACGAATAGTGAGTCCAGCCTCTTACCATGTTTGACGTATGGATGCCAGACGTGGAAATTCACCTCAAAACTGAAAAATAAAATTACAACTTGCCAACGAGGACTGGAGCGCAGCATGCTTGAAATAAGAAAAATATATAGAATACGACATACAAAAATAAGTTCAATAACCAAAGCAACAAATGCATTGATTTATGCACAAAAACTCAAGTGGAAATGGGCGGGTCATGTCGCTAGACTCAAAGATCAGAGATGGACCCTAAAAGTGACATTCTGGAAAGGTCCTCCAGGTAAAAGGAGCAGAGGAAGACCGTTGTCACGTTGGGACGAAGAGATTGCAAGGACAGCCGGCCAAAACTGGAAACAGACCGCACAGGACAGAGACAAATGGGCATCTTTGGAGGAGGCCTTTACCCAATATGGGGTTCCTGCAGATACTGCTATAAAATAAATTATGTTAGGCTACAATACCATGTTATTCTAAATAAGTTAAATAAATAAGTAAATTAGAAACGTAAACACACTAGTTAAGCGTATTATATATAATATAAAAGATTAATTTAAGCAAAATCCATCAAAGAAAAACTAGCTAAGTGAAGTTAATTAAGTAATCAAATTAGATAAGAAACAAACAGTGTAAAGTAGGTAAATAGTAGGAAATAAAAGGCTTTTTTATTTTTATTTTTATTTATTTATTTATTTATGTGTAGTAAATACGAATCTTCCTTTCCTCCTGAGAAATACTTTTTGTACACTACCATATTTTATGGTAGTGTACTAAAAGCGGATCTCTTTCCAAGCACCCGCAACCGACGAGCATGTATGAAAGGCACGATGAATGTGGTAAAGGCGCAAGCTGTGTCAGGATCACGAAAAAATGGTGCAGTAGGTATATTGTAATCAGAAATTATCGCTGGATTTTTCTAAATCAAGCCATGACGGGAATGAAGCGTGACTGACTATGTATGTGTTTTTTTATGTATGTGTAGTTGATAAGAAGAACCTCCTTTCTAAGAAGAGGCCTATGTCCAGCAGTGGACTAGTAAAGGCTGTTGATGGTAGTTGATAAATGAGAAGATTACCAAAGTCCAGAAGCAGATGAGTATCGATCCTCGTTTCAAAGAATATAGCAATAGAAAGGTAACTATGATTGGTAAATTCACATTAACAGTAGCAGCCATTTTACAATAAATATCTTCTCATGCAACGTACAAAATTACTTCATATTTATTACTGCATAAATTTATAAAATAATAGTATAAAGTTCAACCCCTAACTTTTATTGGTTAAATTTAATGTCAGATTTCATTATGACAAAGGAGACAGGATAATAAATATTGATTCAAAACCAGAGACAAAAAGTTTTTTTATAAACTCAATTTATATAAACTGGCCGAAACTGTTCTTATATAGATAATACCAGAATAGACCTTGGTAAAATGAAACATTGAGAGAAAAAAAACAGATAATCTATAATCCATACTTGTATCATAAATGTGAAAGTGAATTTGTGTTTTACCCTTTCAGGCCTAAACCGATTTGAAAAATTCTTTCATTTTCATTTCATCATTTTCTAACATAGGCCACTTTTTACTCCGATAGCCGACAGACACGCGGGCGCAGCCGCGGGCTTAAGCTGGTAACATTATAAAGCTGAAGTTTGTTTGTTTGTCTGTTTCATTGAACGCGCTAATGTCAGGAACCACTGTTTCAAATTGAAAACTTGTTTTATTGTTGATTAACATCACGATACGACCAAAAGGAGTCGAGCCTTAATGGCAAATGTTGCAAAAACGGGGTAAATTAATTACTTTTGAGGACGCAAACAAAGTGGCGTTGGTAGAAGCTACAAATAATATTAGTAGAGCATGCTTACATCACATTGACTCTACGTAGTGTATTATTCATTTGTTCGAATCCTTTTATTTTTCAGGTGACTATTGTAATTTTCTAAAGTAAGCTTATGAACGAATATAGCTAATTTCGTCCAGCCGCCCCTGCGTTCAAATATAACATTTTACATGCTAATGAAGAAGTGATAGCTTAAATTATAAATAGTTGTTATCATCATCCACATCCTTTAATAGTCCACTGCTGGACATATGCCTCTCCTCAGAAAGGTTGGTATAGGGTTTGTTTCAAGTTTTCCTTCTTTTTGCAGTTCAGTTGTTCGGCGTAGTTTGCTCCCTTAGTCGGGTTTTACGACACCACGAGATGAATAAGGGTGGTGACAATCCGTAGTCTTAAATCCGTCACCACACGCAAGAGTTTTTAATGATGTAACTATTACGCATATCACTGTAACATGACAAAGTGTTTACAATCTACAAGATAAAACAAAATAAGCAAACCACCGACATGTACACTATACATATATCGAATACTTCCAATCTAATATACCTACACAATTTTGTTTTTTATTTATAACCGACCAAAAAAAGAAGATTTTTGATTCGTTATTTATGTTTGTTATCTCAGAACTCCGTGACTTATGTGTAGAATTGGAAAATTGTGTATTTGGGAGGGTACATTTCCAGATTATTCCCATTCAAATTTGAGGACAAAATTCCGCTCTTTCCACTTGAACCCCCTGGATTAATCCTATAGGTGATTGTTTGATCCCGAAGGGTGGAAAATGAAGTACCTAATGAAGATCACAGTTTATTCCTAAGATCATCTGGTGGACGTCATCACGCTTTAATGTAAAACTATAAGTGATGTGAAACTGGTATTCAGAAGTTTTTTCGTTGCTTTTCACCGGGAGTAAGGTTACTGGAGTCCAAACCCTCTAATTCGTGAGGGAGGGGCGAAGATTTTAAGGACGGCCATGCACTAGTGACTCTTGAGTTGCAGATGGTTGCCCTCCTATACCATAAACAAAATAACACTGTCTTTTGGTAGTATTCAAACTTCAACGAGACAAAGAGTAGGTCGCACGGAAGACACGAATAATTTTAAATAATTTTCTATAAGTTCAAAACGAAAATTAAAAAAAAAGGGGAACCGACTTCAAATAATATTAACAAAGAGCACTAAAAGCAGCAATCGCGGTTCGTTTGCTGATATTTTTGAAGAATTTCGTTGTCTGTCTTCGAAACTCATCATAAGATCTATTTAAAATTTTAATGGGACCATTACGAAATAAACCCCTTTCGAATAAAAAAAGAATTTGGCATATCCGTCTATATATGAAGGAGTTATGCCCGAACATACATAAAAAATATATATAAACATCCGAATTGATAACCTCCTCCTTTTTGAAGTCGGTTAAAAAGATTTTTACAAATTATCTCTTTTAATCCTATAAACATTTAAAAAAAACATTGCTTCTCAATGGAATTCCCGAAAAAACATTTGTTTTTATTGTATTATCAGGCCAGGATGGGATATGTATAAATACATTAGCGAGAATTTAGTATTTACTATCATGACACTGATTACTGCGTATTCAGTAACAAATGGATCATTGATAATACGCGTTATCAATTCGTTACTTATTTGTCACGGGAATAGTTTGGCGTCTGTTATATTGAACGCAACAAATGACCTCAAGGAAGATTAGGTTATCTCCCCACTATCCGAAGCTCGTAAATAGTGTGATTAAATTTTAAAGCGAATATTTACACTTTAATAAATGTTAAATTATACAAGTAATCATTCAGCCATAATGTAGAATTTATTTTTTCGCATCACATCAACAGCCTATAATAGTCCACTGCTGGACATAGGCCTCTCCTTAAAAAGGAGGTTTTGGCCTACTATACCACGCTGGCCAGACGGTTTGGTATAGGGTTTATGTCAAATTTTCCTTCTCTTTGCAGTGCTGTTGTCCTGCGTAGTTTGCTCCCTTAGTCGGCTCTTACGACATCCACGGGATAAATAGGGGTGGTGACATTCTGTATTCTTAATCATCGCATACACGGGACTATTAAAACTTAGCACTTGGTTTACAGTTTCGACCGCACTAATCTAATATAAGCTGTCAAATTTCTATCTTTCCTTAATGGGATGCCATCCCATTATCTCAGGGATGGGCCAAACAAGAAGCAGAGGGCTTTATGTCCAGTTCACGCAGTTAGTAGGCGTTGTCCAAGTAGTACAGCAACAGACTCATAGCAAACATTAATACATTAAATGGCAAAGTATCTCCTATCTACCTGTCCTCCTATGTGTACATGCTAGTTTTTATTTTATTCTTTTTTTTGGTGACGCGGTGGAAAATTCCTTCACCGATCTTTGGCTCCCAGGGGACGTGTTGACATCCACCAGATGACCGAAATCAAATACTCCTACACATATTCTACGTCGTTGATCTGCAGATGAGATGCAGAAGCCAGGAGTATGTTTCGTTTCCACTGAAAACCAAAACTATCCTGAACGGTCGGCTTTAGACACCTTAATCTGGGGTGGACCCGCATAGGTGCTAATTACTGGTCCTGATAGGTACACCTCATTACTGGTCCAGATACTACGAGGGATATACGTTTCTATTCACCAAAAGTTGACTGTTTGTATAGGAAAATTACAAAGCTTGTGTTGTATGGTGTTTGGTAACAGCTCAGCGCCCTATTTTTCTTGAGCTGTAGGTTCCATCCCTTTTACTGGTAACTACTATTATTGGTAAAAATACACGGATATGTTTTTTGTATGTATCCATTTAAATACGTAGACTGAAAATATACCCAGGTATCTTTCGCCATGTCTAGAACTAACATCCAGTGAAATCCTGCCTATAAGTAGTGTAAGGTAACGGTTACGCATTTGTGAAAAAACCTGACTGACTGACTTTTTCAATTATATGATTTGCGACTTACTTTATTTCAGAGGCGTTCACAGACGGCGGTAGTCACTTTCCATCAGGTGACCTGTTTGCTCGCTCACTAAACTTATTATTTTAATATTATTCTTCTCATTCTTAATGGCTGAAGAGAGTAAAAGAACAAAATCTGTATTAGCCTCTCTGTAAATGTACATGAGTTCATTTTCACGATTAAAAAATTAATAAATTTCTTTAATCAAGGAACGCGAGACTTTAAGAATATATAAAGCGTATAAATGAGTATGTCAATAACATTAATAAATCGTTAATATAGTTATAAGTATGGTACAGTCAATATTCATCATAAATGCCGAATTAAATTAGCATCCTAATGTAGTAATTAATAAAAACAACATATTTGTTGTTTACATATTGTTTACAAATTACCCCGGAATTTCCTACGGGGTATACAAAACAACTACAACGACATCTGGATATGGCGTTATCAGTAATAACTGCAGATATGTCCGGAGTAGTAGGCGTTTACATTAGATAAATACACTGACAAACGAACTGAATCATCCAGTAAGACGAGACGACACAGTTAACGGACAGTGTACGGTGTACTCACAACCAAAGCGGTTGTACCTTAAATCATCTTAACACAATTTCAATACAAATATTATCGAAAATGTACTGTGATTGGCCTCTGCTAGGACGATGCTGTTTCTGCATGCCTCTGCGAAGGGGTGTGCTAACGTTTGGCTACTTAAACCTTGTAAGTATTCTATAGCTTTTATTCGGATATCCTAATTAGTGTGCACGGCTATACCACAATGATGTTTTTCTACGTATTCTTATTTAACTAAATTTCTTGGAATTGTTCTATTTTGAACCGACTCCAGAGAAAGTAGGAGGTCCGAATTTCGTTTTAATTGACTTGTGATAATAACGGGTTATATGGATCAGTTCAAATGGAGTTCTATTTCTAAAGATATAAATATACACATTTTACATTTAAATTCAAATCTCAGATATGTATGTATAGTGTAACAAATAATATAATGAAGTAATTTAATGAGTATCCCACAAATACATTAGGTATATTACATGTAGAAGGAACTGTACCTGAAATTAAGTTGTTTAATATGACTTTAAAAAGGGATGTACTGAGTTAAATTTTCAATCTTAGGGTTCAATTCCCGCTCAAGTCAAACATTTGTGTGCATGAACATTTAATGTTTGACTTGGTCTGGGTGTTTCTATGTATAATACGTATGTATAAAAAAGAAGTATATATGTATTTATATCAGTTATCTTGTACCCATAGTACAAGCTCTGCTTAGTTTGGGACTAGATGGCGTTGTGTGAAAGTGGTAAAAAAAAAAAAACTGCCTAAAAAAATCACCACAAGCTACTGAAAACTCCAAATCTATCAGTTTTGTCTTTCCGGGAATCGATTTTAGATTTTCTTAGTCACATGCAAATATTCGTTGCATAGTCAATGGCATCGAAAAACTTGTTGGGCTTAGTTTAATCGTAAATTGTGTACTTTTTATGTACTGTAATAGGACAAAATGATAAATTAGATACCTGCTCAATTTTAAGAATGCGCTTAAGAAGTCGTAGCTAAAATGTACATCTATTTATGTCAGCATACCTCTAAAGCTATCTCATTTGCTTGTCACACAATTGATGATTGAAAATCGTCACAAATTGTTTTGATTCCGCTTTTTTATAACAATATCGACTTCGAAAAAAAAGAAAAACGTCTAACTTTCAGAATTTTGTCATAAAATCAAACTCAAATATTTTTTTATCGAGTAGGTTTTGTAACAGTACACTTTAAGGCGTTACCTATAAAAATAGGGATCACATTTCTAAAACCTTTTGACTTCATAAAGTTTGTATCTATAGATAAAATTACCCTTTCTTCATTCTTAATGTTAAAAAAAATCCATTGTACTGTTTGATATACATTCCTTACATAGTACTTAAACATACTAAAATTATGATGTAATAACCTACTGTTAAGTTCAAACAAAGATTAAGTACAATGACATGATATAATGTAACAATGCAGTGTAGAAGAAAACAAAAAAATGTATTTCGCAATTTGTAATTGTTTATTTCAAAAGACAATTCCCGCATTAGGAATATATCCTGTGTTTACAAACGGGAACTTACATGAATCGGACACAAAGAACACCCAAACTCAGAACAACTATTTGTTGATCACACCTAGTGTCGTGTGGCGATCGAAACCACAACACACTCAGCGTAGTAGTAAGCGGTGTGGCGACCGCTTAAACCACTACGCCATCCGTGCAGTCATTATTATATAATATTTAGGAAACTGATATAGATTGTTAGAATAGTCTGTGATTAATAAGGGTTAATTTGCCACTGTAGTGGGTATCTGATTTGGGTGACGTCAATCTGGTTATTTTTTACCCTTCAAACACATAAGCGTGTTCAGTTAACAACAGTTTTTTTACAGACTTAGATCCGGTAGTACTTCAGATCTGAATAGCTGCTTTATCTCTAAACAATCAAAGTTTGATTTTGCATAAAATACAACAGTCATCTTTGGGATGACTTAGTTGTTGACCAAAAAGCCCAACTGAATAATAAGCTAAAAAGGATGAAATGCTCTCCAATAACGATCAACATACTCTCATCTAAGTCATATAGTAAAGTCATCTGCCAACCGGTTTGAATACCAGTCACTGTATTAAGTGTTCAAAAATTTACGATCACATTACACGATCTTCATTCCTGTGCCCACATTCTTCTATCAATTAATGTTGAGTTAATTCATTAAAATCTGCATTATACTTGTTTGCTCTATTTTCATACAACTGCTTAAAAATCAATGTCATGTTTTGTCAAGATTCATGTATGTTTCTATGTAGGAATGAGTGTGGGTAAAAGCTCGTTCCAAAACATTAGAATAAAAAACTGTCTGAGTAGATTTAGGTGTATCGGATATCGTAACATGGGCTGTGTATAAAAAACAATGTAGCCTGCATGCCAAATTTTCCTTTTTTTTGTTAGAGCAGAATTGTTTGAAAATGTCCTTTATCTTAATTTATTGTTAACTATTTTTTCTTCTTCTAGTTATTCAGTGCATTCATGGTCGGCGTGTACAGTTACTCAGTTCATTCTGAATATGGGCTAATTGCGATTTACCATGGAGCCAACTTCGACATTCCATCCGAATTTTGTGTCGCCATTTATTGTATAGAGTTAATCTTCAACGGGATTCTTATTTATGGAGCTCACAAGGTATTTATATCACTAAAAATATACATAATGTTAAATTGTAATGTAAAGATATTAAATTATAATGTTGTTTTATAACAATAAATGCTCTTAGATTATAGTTACACACACTATCTAGTCTTTAGGAGTCAGTTATCCCAGAGTCTTTAGGGATCAGAATCAGAATAGGAACGAAGTAAATGGTTTCTTTTAATTTATTTCTTCCATCAAACAATTATTTGCATCAAGACGGCTTTAAGTACTTATTTATCAAACGTTGACCGTCAGCTGTAAATCAGACAGGACATAATATTATTGAAATGATAGCGGGCGTAGCGGAAAGCTTTATATAGGAATGAAAAGATTTATTCCATAATTTCCTAGAAATTTATTCAAAAGAACTCACAGTGGAGATAATACTACAAATAAATAAGACTCGGTATCTTACAGAGCTCAAACCAAATAAAAAAAAACAAACATGCAAATCAAGACAGTTATTAACAAATCACATTCTACTTTAAAGTTTAAAAAAAAAAACCTCCATCTGACATACCTTGATTCAAGTTGTATTCTAGTACTGATATATATGGTCGTTGGCTTAAATGTAGAAAGAATCCCTGATAAACTTGATTACCTATCGCTGGATAGTCTTGAAATCGTGACCGAAAACCGTGCTCTAGCATATTTTATAATAGTATTTTTTTGAACATAATAGATTAAGTAGTCTCGAATGGTAGATTTATTTACCTACTAAATCTTACAGAATAATGAGGTTTTTAAATAATATTGTCTGGACATAGGACCAAAGATATTAGCTATAAAAAGCATTCTTCTTTTTATAAAATAATGAAATATTTTTCTTAAATCGACTTAACCTGTTTTTCTTTTCCAGAAAATAGTTCTACATCTTAAATTATACTACTACTTTTCATTAATGACGATCGTCGCTACACTCCTGCTTCAAATCATCGACTTCATTTCTGCCGTATCGTCCAGAATGCGGCTGCATATGTTCTTCGAAATCGGACCTCTGATGTTTGCTTCGACTTGTAAGTTAAAAATAGGTATTATATAGCATATATGGGTGAATTCTGCACAACTCAGTATCTGATCTTCAATTCTTTTTCACTACTTCAGAATTTCTTTTGCTTCTTGTAGTAGTACTAGTAGTAGGAGTAGTACTTAAAGGGATCGGATGGTTGATGTTCTGTTCATTTGCAGCTGATGTGGAAAGATTGCTGTCTTTTGCATCAACCAGAAATCTGCAATGTGTTGTTACATTATTATTGTTAGATCGTTGTTATGCTATTTCTCTCCTTCGTTCTTTAAATCCTTTTTTGTATATAAAACTTGAATTCAAATTAAAACTTAAACATTGAAGAACAAAATTGAAGAAATGTTTGATAAAATCAAATTTTTACATAAATTGTAAAAAGCAAAAGCATACATATTTAAAAGAATCGGGGAAGTAAAGCGAACATACATTTATTTTTATAAACATTTTCTATTCAGCCTAAGGCATGTGTTTATGTTTCAAGCTGATAATTTATTATTACAATTGATTAAACGTACTATTATTACCATGATTACTGTTGGTGAAATATGCTGAAATGCTGACAATTTCATACATAATAGTGCAACAAAGGTTTAAAGGAATTTGAATTCAGAGTAACACTGCGTGTATTCAAAGCTGAGTATAGTGATGATTCACTCTTATTATTCTATTGAGTCTCGTCTGCTGTTTATGATCTAAATCTATGGCGTCTTCAAAGTTTTAACGCAGAATTAGCGAGCGTATAGAGAATATTCTACAAGAACTTAATTTTGACACCAAATTTTTAGTATGCATCCAAAAATAAAATAGAATTGAAAATCCATATGTAATAAGAGGATTTTGAAAGAAATACCACTGCAGTGACTGAAAAATATTTTAAGTAGCAGGCAAACCTAGTCAAAAATAAAATATAATAAGTGAAAAGAATTGAAGAATAATATCATTTAATGCAGATCTAACCAAAATCAATTCCTAAAACTTTTAGGTCATTTTGTCTTTTAGGAGTTTTACACTCTTGAATCGCTATCGCTAATTTATTTCAACTTGGTTTGTTACAGGTATACAAGTCTACCTAATAATTCTAGTCAGGAGTCTTATCAGGAAGATGGACATCTCCTCCGCACCCAATGTATATGACAATCCACTACAGCAGTTTGTTTATGATGGCAAAACCGAACCAAACGGAGTGTACGATACAACAGTAGTGCCCGTAGATGTGTAATTACGAACAAAAAACAAAGACGGTTTCCTGAGTCCTTGGATATTGTTGAAAATGCTTTGGCAGCCATCTTTGGTGTATTTATAAAGTAAAACGGCAGCAAATTAATACCAAAAATAGATTTAAGTAAACAGATATTAAATATTGTGAGGATATGGTTCTCTCTAGCGTTGCATACTGATGATGTGTCTAGATAAATTATAAAAACAATAAGATAGAGGAATTTTGTTTTTTTAGAAACAACTTATATAATTGCAACCTTTAATTCTAAGAGACTGTTTGATAGAATATCAACAGTCTTAATCTCAGCTTGTTAAAATTAATTCTCGTATTGAGTGTAATACAATTCAATTTACAGAATCAGTTTTACATTTGGTTCATGTCTGTGTTACGCGATAGAACTTGATTTTGATATTATTGCTTGTTTTGAATCTATTTTCAAATCACGAATAGCGAGATCTAGACGCTCTTATTATCCGTTTCATAAATATTTTCGCATACATAAGTGAGACGGGACGTGTCAAAGTATGTGGGGTTGATGCTTCGTATTCCGCTGTCTAAATTTTAATTAGACACGATTTCAATAATTTCGTTTTAAGAGTACAATATGTAACTATTTAGTGTGATATTAATTTATACCTTGTTGTAAATAATTTAAATAAGAATAATGTAATTGAACATATATTGAATTTCGTAACATTAATTTAACTTCAAATTTTACTTGCGACAGTGCGCAACTCTCTCAGTTACAAAGATACTAATAAAATCTTTGGATTTTACTGGTGTCTTTTATAAATTATTAAAACTAGAGTGATCCAAAAAATATTAAAGTCTTGTAATATGTGTCATGTAAACTATTTTCTCTTTGTTTTATGAAACCGCCACGGTTTGAACTAATTTATGTGGATGATGTATTCTTCCACGACTAACCGCGGCAGTTGCACGTAAAATATTAAAATCCTTCTAAAAAAGAAGGTTTTGTAGTAAAGTATTGAAAACTTATAGCCTAGATTTAGAGTCTCATTGTCAGTGGACATATAGTTTTAATGTTCGATGTAATTAGTGTAATATAAATAATTGTTAATAAGGAATGTGATATGGAGTAAATTATAAATATTTTTATGTATATTCTATTATTATTATATCATCCGTGCGGTGACAGATTAAGAATACGAGTGTCACCACCCCTATTCATCCCGTGGGGGTCGTAAGAGCCGACTAAGTGAGCAAAACTACATCGGAGAACAGCACTGCAAAGAGAAGGAAAACTTAAAACAAACCTAATGACAACCCGTCTTGCCAGACTGGTATAGTAGGCCAACACCTCCTTTTTAAGGAGAGGCCTATGTCCAGCAGTGGACTAGTAAAGACTGTTGATGATGATGATGAAGTTGTATTATTTTGTTAAAGTTTTTTTTTATCGTGGTATCCTATGTCTGTATTCCGGAAATTGGATATTACAGCTCATAAAATGCGACTAAACTATTTTATATACCAGATAAAGAAAATGCGTGTCGGGTGAAATTCAATATTAGAGATATGGTCAATCATTCAGTTTATAATAAACAACATGTGTTGTATTATGATAAAGTGGTTGGTTTTTAGTAGTTATAATTTCATTACAAACATTGATTTAAAACACGAATTGTTTATAGAGATATTAGTAATAATAATAATAATATTGTACCACATTCACACAACGCCATCTAGTCCCAAACTAAGTAGAGCTTGTACTATGGGTACTAGACAACTGATATGAATACATAAATACTTTTTTTTTTGTAAATACATACTTATTATACATAGAAACACCCATCGAACATTAAATGTTCATGCACATAAATGTTTGACTTGAGCGGGAATCGAACCCGCGACCTTTGGAATAGCAATCCGTTACACAATCCACTACGCTATTCGGTCGTCATTTTATTAATATAAACAGATTATTCCTTTCACTGGTTAGAATCCGTAGTTTTTAACATTTAATAAATTACAGTTTAAAAACTAAAAAACACGCTTTTGTAAATAGCCAAACTAAAAAGTTAGTTAGTTTTTTTTCTATAAGTTCAAAAAGAAAAATCATTTTCTGGTTAAAATGCGTAGGTTGCTAGATCTTATTGTTGTTGTTGTAAAAATATTTGATTGACAGATATTGATAAAATAAAGTTATTACATTATAAAATATTTTCAAAAAGCACCCCACGCTTTTTTACGATAAAATGTTTTTTGTTTTTGAACTTATAGAAAACTATTGTCTACTTTCTAGTTCGACTAGTTACAAAAGCGTTTTTTAACTGTAATTTATTTTTGCTTTTTGAGTCATTTATGATGATTATTTTCTCATTAAGACTACAAAAGTATCAAGTAAGTAAGTCACATACATATACTCCAGCAAACGCCTCTTAGTTATGGAGAAAGCCGTTAATACTGAAGATCCTGATCAGGATAATCCAAATTTATAAAATTATTGTTTTATCATAGGTCCTATTTAATTCGACGTTTTGAAGTGGGTCAATATCACGTTCGAAGATGCCGTTACATACCTTAAAGATTGTTAAAAACACGAATAGTTTTTAAATAAATTAGTAATTGGTACAAATACTATTATTTCTCCACTGGTAAGAATCCGTAGTTTGTAATATTCAAGAAAAACTTTCTTTAATAGCTGCTAAACACAAGCAAAATTAAAAGAATACAAAAAAACACGTAAGTTTTTCCATAAACGTTTGTATCTAAGGGTCAATTTAATTAATAAAAATTCGTTCAAAATTCAGGTCCGATCTACTCTCGATCTCATAAACGTCTTAAAAAGGATTTTCGTAGTAAACAACAGTACTATCTGTTACAATATGTACCTGTGTACCGGGTGAACGGGTTGGTATAAATAAGCGAGCACAAAGAGCAAGGCCTCATTATCTTTTACTACCACTTCTGATGATTATTAAATTATTCATTTATTAAAAGGTTGCAAGAAGGTGAAATTGATGAATCACTAGTGTTATTTAGACCTTGAATCATCATTTTTCTACTGTTTTCTTAACTCAACGTTCTGGGATCATTTCAATATCATATTTCTTCATCATTCACTGCTTACTCTCTTTGCAGTCATGTCATATTTTCTCGTCTTTAGTCTATTTTGGTCCTCTTCTACTTTCGCGTCTGTCCTTCCGTTAATTGTTTGACACTTGTAAGTAAACTTCAATGTTAAAAAAGGTTTCGTTTTTTGTTGTGTTGTGTTTGTACATTATTTTATTACCTGACTCTTATAACTTTTGCAAGTAAAGGATATTACTTATCTATGTTATTAACTAAAGTCGTTTTGAAATTGTTATGCCTATCTTATCCATCTTAGCTGCCTCTCCAGTCATAGGACGGATGTACAATTGGAGTTATATTGGGCATTGGAATCTAGAGTTTCACTACCATTTTTTTCTGTGGGTACGCCGTCTCGAGTACCAGTTGCCGGGGAACCAGGTGTACCCTAGGAAGGAAATCCCTGATACAGAGTTTCTTTACCCTGACTCTCTTGCTCTATTTGTTCCATTACTATAAAGAGGATTTCCATTATGCAGTTAGCGGTGTAATGTTGCGCTGATCCCCAATAAAATTAGGATATGGACAGGAAAATAAAGATGATTATGATGACGATATTGTATGACTATGAAGAAGGTACATTTATATAAAATATTATAATCCTGGGAGATATTAATATCCACACTAAAGCAAGCAAGACTTGTACTATGAGTTCTAAATCACTCATAGACATATATACATACTAAGGATTTTTCGAAACAATTAGATCAATTCGTTACTGCCACACCTCATCTAAGTTTTATAATAAGCAGAAGAAGATAATATAATCATAATTCCGCTCTTACTTGATCTATTTCTAAATATTGGAATATAGATATTTGAAATCCTCCTAAGTTTTATTTTATTCTCTTTTGTTCTTGATTTTTTATATCTAACTATGTAATGATGGCCTGTTTTCTTGATCTAACTAATAACATAACTTTACAAACATAATTTTAAAAATTATTTATAAATAAACCGTTTTAAAATCTTTTTTATATCACTCTATCAAATGTAGGAACGAAAAATGTTGTAAGCTTAAAGTTTATTTTTAAAGGAATAGCTTTATGCTAAAATATTTAAGCAATATACTAACACGTGCTTACAGATACACATGGTTACTCTTCTTTCATCCTTGGAGGTGGACCCCTTCAAGGATGAAAGATGTAAGTATGTGTAAGAGGTGTATTTTACATCCACATAAACAACGTGTGCTACAACTACATGTTAAGGAAAGCTCAAGTCTACCGTATATCCATATTCCCTTGTCAAGCTACTGATAGTTATGAAGAATACAATTAAGTTGTACTGGGCAATGAAAGAAAACAATAAACTTAGTAAAGTATAAACGAAATATGACCGACATGCGATCTCTATTTATTAATTACTAGCTGGTACCCGCGACTTCGTTCGCTTGGAATTTGAAAACTCGCTGCCTTAGTGGGTTCGATGCCAAATATTAGGTTTTTCTGAGAGGAGAGAAAAACCTATGTTATTCCTTATATAGACAGCTACCTGGTAGTAAAATAGTATCAAAATCGGTAAAGCTGTTTAGAAGACTACCCGGAACAAACAGACAGACAAAAAAAACTGGTTTGTAGGCATAGGTATCGTGCAAATAACCGTGTGAGCATGAAAAATACCTATAATTTTGACATTACAAACAGACACTTCAATTTTATTTATTTGTATAGATGTATAGATTATCACATTTATCGTCACTATAACAACCCAAAAGTTTTAGGTCTTTGTGCTCACATCAACATCAACAGCCTATGACAGTCCACTGCTGGTCGTACTCCTCTCCTCTGAAATGAGGTTTTGGCCTACTATACCATGCTGGCCAGACGGGTTGGTATAGGGTTCGTTTCAAGTTTTCCTTCTCTTTGCAGTGCTATTGTCTTGCATAGTTTTCTCCCTTAGTCGACTTT